AGTTAAATTTTGAAGATATCCAGTTTCAATTAAAGATAGTAGAAAATAAAGATATTAGATCGGGATCCTTGCTCATTCCATTCAGATTTTGACATTTGTAATTTTAATAAAGCTGTTATCATGCAAAACAGATGTAGTTAGTGAGCAGGTCTATCTGCAACCTGAGACTTTACCTGCCAGAAAGAAAGCACTGAGGAAAATTTCTTTATATTTTAAAAACATACTAAAAAAAATTTCTCCTGCTTTGTTTTGATCTAAACGAATACATTAAATTCAGATGAAAAATGTTTTTATCAACATAAAATTCAACATAAAATTTTTGTAATTATTTTTTTCTTATTGTCACTGTCTCCTATTATTTCAAAGTCTGCAGTGATATACAAAATTTAAAGCCATGAGGCAACAAAGAAACTTCAGTACCTGTAATATTTGTCCTAATGTTTCATTTACTAGTGCTGTAAATAAATTACATACTTGTAATACAAAAAGGGAACAGACTTTTTACCAGAGTCTGTTATGATATGACAAGTGGAAATTGTTTCAAACTAAAAGGGGGAAGATTTAGACTGTATATCAGGAAGAAGTTTTTTACAGTAGGAGTAGTAAGGCACTGGCACAGGTTCCCAGAGGGGTGGTGGATGCCCCATCCCTGGAGACACTCAGGGGCAGGCTGGATGGAGCTCTGAGCACCTGATGGAGCTGTAGGTGTTCCTATTCATTGCAGGGGAGTTGGACCAGATGGTCTTTACAGGTCCTTTCCAACTCAAATGATTTTAAACCTATGACCAACATGAAACAAATATGAAAGAGAAATGTGAAATCTCTTGTTTGAACGCACTTTCTGAAACTCTTGGAATGAGCAAATTCATCCTGCAGCAACAACAATAATAACAAAAACCAACCAAACAAAAAAAACCCCAAAACACAAAAACTAAATAAAAAAGCAAAATAAATGAATTATTATTAATAATAATAATAAAATCAACCAAACAACTCTTCCGCTGAAAGCCCCAATCCCCAATGACAGAATTATCTTTTAACAAGCTATCAGACTACACCCTTTAAAGAATAAATTCACTGAACGATGTAGCTTGTGAAAAGTAGTTCAGTAGGCCATCTTATTTTTATATATGTCCTCAAATGAAGTGTTGTGCAATTTAATTCCTATTAGGTTCAGTGAAAACTGTGCTAAGAACCTGACTGTGACTAGAACAAAGCCTATTATTAATCATGGGTAACTGGAAACAAGAGAATATGAGAAATGAGGACACTGGAAGATATATTGCAATGAATCTTCCAGAAATGTTGAAGTTCCCAAACATTCCCACCCACTTTTCTCTTGTAGTCAGTGCTTCTGTTTCCACACAAGGTGTAGCACAATGAAGCACCCGGGTGCTTCTCAGCTGCTTCAAGCATAGGTGAGAAAAAAAAGGTGTTCTGCTTTACTACTGTGGGCAGGTATGGGTAGGGAGGCAGGGAAAAAAAGGGTAAGGAAGATAATAAATGTCTTTTCAAAAACTGCAGATAGGAAGGAAATAAATGTCAACATCCTTGAATGTTTAATGTGGAGCTTGCACTTTAAGTCTTGAAACGCCAAGATTTTTTCTTTTCATTATATAATTTTATCTCCAACGTTGTTATGACTTTTAGTTGCTGATAAACTTTGCAGGATGATAAAGAATTTATGTAAGGAAAGAGGTGTGGGTGGGGTTTTTTTGGTGGATTCGTGTTCTTCTGTGGTTCTTTCTATGCAAACGTGAGAGAATTTCAGTACAGCTTCAGATGTGTTCCTCACTTTCAGAGTGAATTTTCTCCTCTTGCTTGCAGGATGGAGTTGAATTTTTTCAGCCTCTTTCCTCTCTCAAGTTTTGTTGACAAAGAAAGGAATAAATCTGCAGCAGGGCAAACAAAATATTGGCTTCTGATTGCTTATGCTTTGTAACCATGCCAGACAAGTAGCTCTGTCAGATTTCTGAACATTCAAAATGGTAGCCAAATGCACACATGCAGAGGGCAACAACTTCTCATATCGCTCTTCCTTTTTGAGTTTGATAGTGAAAAATATCTTTCCAAAGACAGGCAAGGATTAGAAGCCACCTAATAAATAACTTTGGATTGCAGAGCAAAGAGGTTTGAGTGAAGAAAAGCATCAGAGCACCTCCAAAGAGAAACCTTTTGCATAGGTTTGCTCTAAAAAAGACAGATGATCAGAGACAGGAGGGACATGGCCTATGTTGGCCAGTGGCAGGGGAAACATCCCTTCAGTTCAAGACCATGTCCTCTTTTTATCATTTTTTGGATTGTCTTCACTCCCAATTCAGCCAAATTTCCCTCTGCCAGCTATCAGATTTCCTTAAGGACAGCCTGCCTGAGAAGTCAATACCTTTTTTCTATCCTTGTATCCATGAAGTTGGTCATCGGTGTTTAGTTTGTTGTTGTTGTTATAAAACCTTAAATATTAATAAATTAAATTCTTAACAAAAAAGGGAAAAGGCAATTTCATAATTCCTTGCAACTTTTATTTTTCCCTTATCTTCCCCACATAGTGTACTGTAACAAGCTATTTCTGTGCAACTCTTTGTTTGTCATGGAGTTTCTTAACACGGAATGTCACAGGAGAAAGGATTGTTGATTTTTTGGGGGGTGTGTTGACCTCCCTTTGATTCTAAACATGAGCAGATTTCTCTGTGCAAACAGTTCTGCAGTCTTTCCTACTACACTCTGAACATTCTGGAGCTTTAAGGCAAATAGAATGACTGAGCAGAGCCAGAAGTACCCTTTGGAGGATTTTAGGATGCCACGCTAATGGGAAGGAGGTGAGCAGAAAGCAAAGACAGACAAGAAAAGACATCACCTCAGTGCCAGAGACACAAAATGCAAGTGCCCTGAGAGAATCATTCTGTTGAACAGAACAGAGATGGCTGAAGCTGCAGGCATAGTGCTCTCTTGTTCCAAAGACTTCTGCAGCATGTACAGCTGATGCAGCAAGTTTCTAGTGTAGTTAAAAACTGTTCCTGCTTACTTAGCTAGCTCTGGCCCACATACAGTTTCATATCTTGTTATTAAAAATCTTGTTATTAAAAAAAATCCTGCCAAATAAACAGGTAATGCTGTTACTGAAAACAGTTATCTAGGTTGATCCTGAGTTTCACGGAATAAACTGAAATTAGGTGCTGTTGTTTAGCTGGTGACTCAGAGTGGAACAGTAACATCGACGATATTCTGCCCAGCCCCATCCCCTTCATTTTGGGTTTTGTTGGATTTGCTTCTCCGTGCCCTTACACTGAACTGCAAAAGCGAGATCTGATGCTACGCTCCTACGGTGTCTGCCTGTACTGTGTACAAGTTTCATTTTTCCCCCTTTATGGAAATAATCCCTCATAAAACAACAGCTAACTGCTGCCAGCTCAGTGTGGTAATGTACACAGCAGCAACCCATCAAATAACTCATATCAAAGAGTGTAATGAGAACAAGCTGAGTAATTGGGCTAGCCTGAATAAAAGGAATCTAGCAAATTTTGAAATGCCATTTCAATTTGCTGTAGCTCTATGTCATGCTCACCAGCGTTCCTTCTGCAATTGGATTTTATTCAGTGTAATTGCTAGGGGGCATGCAGACTTACTAGTGAGGTAAGCATTTGTGACAACATTAGGGAATGCGATAATGGTAATTATCATCTACATCAGCTGTAATGATTTAGAGATGTGAGCATAAATAAGAATCAGAATTGGTGTTTTTTTTAAATTTTATCCAGGACACCTTCTAATTTTCGTCTTCTGTAGCTTAAGAATATACTTTAACTATTATTTGACGGTATGATAGCCTTGCTAAAGATAAGTTAGAACAATTTGTGATGATTGAAATTAAAATCTCCTGATTTCATCCCATAGCTAGTGGTTGTAAACAGAAATCATACACATACACAGGCTTGCTAGAGATTGTTCCTGAATTTAGCAGCACTGTCTGTTGAACAAATGAGTGAAGTATGTTCCCTCCGTTATCTCTTGTTGATCTCCTCGTATTGTCACACTAAAAAGGCATTTTAATGATCTTATCTGCAGTGTGCTGAATTCCTGAATCTGTTGCTGAAAAACGAAAAGCAAAGGAACGCAGAAAAGAAGGGACGTAAGAGAAAAGCACAGATCCAAAAGAACAGAAGTAAAAAAGAAAGTAGAACATCTACAACAACAACCTGGAGACAAGAGTAATGAGCAAATCTAATTTCAGAGAGAATAATCATACTGCAGAAATCTTCCAGTGAGGAGCACATGAGGCTGATGCACACAGTTTAGACAAATTGTCTGAAAATTTAGGAGTTGTTCAGTATGTGATGACACATATGTGATGTTACCATAAGGTAAATTGCTTAGATGTTCAATGTGAACTGCATTCTCCAGGGTGCTTGAGTAGCTAACTGGAAAGTGGCACACCTCTGCAATTCAAACCAACTTTTAATGTTGATTTTCCCTTTAGGGAAAGGTTAGGGACTGGGGTGACCCTGAAGACATCAGGACCTGAAGGGTTCATTACCTAAAGCAGAGCCCAGGGAGCTGCTGAGTGCTGGTCCCACTCTTTGCTACTGTTCTCCTGCCCCATGGTCCTGAGCAAGTCTTGTAGCCCACGGATGCAAAGGCACATGTGGACAAGCCTCACCCCACAACTGAGTTTCTTCTGTCTGCTTGGACACAGAAATAGATGGTCACCCTCAGCTTTATAGCCCTAATTAGCTAGTGCTGCCACAGTGCTTATAAACACCAAACACATAAAGCTGGTATCTTGTACAAGCTGATCACTGATTTATTCTTCCATAGTTCAGATTTGTGCAAGTCTCAGGGAAATAGAAAATATTCTCCCCAACTACTTTTGCAGTCACCCATAAAATGGCAGTCAAAAGACATTTAGGTACCCCTAATATCTTTGCTGTGGCAGCCAAATAAGTTGTATCCTGCAAGCTAGATCAGATTTATGTTGAACTGATTCAGAATGACTTTGTTGCTCACCCTTCTGTGGATGTATGAAGTACAGAAAATGGCTCCTCTGCTCTCTTTTCGAATTCATGTTCCCTGCAACAAGTGAGATTTTCTTAAAGGAAAAGAAAGGAACATCTGAGAAAAGATTTGTCCTCGCATCTCATCAGCAAGAGTGTAAAATAAAACCAAAGGAATAAAAACAGAAACAAGGGTGCAGAATGCTGGAAGGAATGCAGCTCTCAAAGATACAAGCTCAGAAAGAAATTAAATTCACAGACACCAAAAAAGGGGAGAAGACTGGAATAATAGTTGTTATGACTCTTGATAGTTATCAGAGGGGAAAAAAAGCCGCAGGAGAGGAAAAGACATATTAAAGCAAGACAGTAGCAGTGCTTTAAGGAAACTAATTGGAAAACTCAAAGCAACTTTGATGCTAGTGAAAAGAAAAAGAGAGGGGTCTGAGGCACAGCACTCAGGTTTGATCTGAAAATACCTCTTTTCATGCTAGCTTCCCAAAAAGTCTATTTGGGAAGTAAATCTGTCAGGTATTATTTCTATCTATCTGATTTATCTAAAACATTGCTTATAAACTTCTTTTAAAATATCACATCTGAGGTTTATTTATTTGCAGAAAGAAACTAATGGAAGAGGAATTTCGAAGTGGATAATTCTGATATATTAATATTATCTTTCTCATAGCAAAGACTGAAAGAGTAATTTCAAAAACCAGAATAATTGTTGTCAATACTATAAGATGCATATATAGTGTTACTTAAAATATTTAAACATATAAATTAATAAATGAAACCCTTAGATATTTCAGGTAAAATTCCCCAAACCTGCTAAAATCTATAATTGTAAAAGGAGATAGGCAACATCGAACTCTCAAATTTAACTCCTGTTGTCTTATAACAAATAGAGGGAGATCTAAGCACTTTAAAAGGAGATGGACGCATGTAGAGAACCTCAAAATCCCCAAGAGGTTATACACTTATATTTGCAATGGATCAGGTCTTTTATTCTAGAGGAACATTTTTCTGTTATCAAGCTTCAAATCTCTAAATTGCAGTAGAAATTTAAGTCAGTATCTTCCCAAGTACTGAGAATCTGTCTGTGACACTGGGAAATTTTAATCTAAGTTGAATTATTTAATGAGGACAAAAGACCACGGAATGCTGTCAATAAAGCTGGCAGAGAAGAAAGATGGAAATCCCACTGAAGACTATTGCAGTGTCTCTCTGTTGCACATGAGCCCACATATGTACATAGGATACGTAACCAAAAAGCAGCTGGTGTTACTGGGGACAGAAAACTGAAAGAGTTGAACCACTGAGTTAAATCAATAAACAAATTAATATGCTTTTGAAAAAGGTTTGAACAAAGTTATGCTGTTTATCGAACAGGAATTAAATGCTAGGATGGCACCCTTGCAGAAAAGATGATGTTCTTACAGTGGCAGATGGCAGAAAGGGATTTGTCCTTCCTAGATTCTGCTGAAGACCTGCAATGTAAAGAGTCTGTGAGTCGAGGAGGTGTAGGTAAAAACTGAAGAGGATGAAAGGAGGATGCAGGCTATCTGGAATCTTTGTCTTTCTGGTGACTACCTTTCCTTGGCAAGTCTTGAATATTTTTCTATAAGAAAGGAAGAAGAAAAAGGACTAATGCTCATCTGTTTCACAACTCAAGAAATTCATAAACAAAAGCCATTTTTTTCCTTCCAAATGGTGTAACTACTTTATCAGGCAATTACTTCAGCTCCAGCAGGTGCACTGAAACCGTGCTTGCCTCACGCAGAGAGCTCTTCCACTATTTTCATTTGGGGCTGGATAATTGGATTGAAGTTTCTTGTTCACTTCTTTTGTTCCCAGGCTTTGGATAGTTGGGAGCCTCTCAGATCTCTCTCCATTCCTAGCACCACCGCAGCTCTTGCTTAAACATGAACCGAATATTTCTGCAGATCAAAGTTTAGGGATTCTTTCAACACGTCTGTGGCAGCGGGGCTGGAATTCACTCCTATTTCAAATAGGGAAGCTGCCGGTCTGTGATCACTTAGTGCCTAATGCAAGGTGTTTGTGGCATCAGGAAGAGGTCCATTAGGAGGATACTTAAGCAATGGTGTTTTGTGGTGATGTTCTTTTTTTCCTTTCTTTTTATGGAAAATATTTGTTACAGAGCAGAAGCCTGATCATTTACTACTACTGTTAATGAAATTTCAATAAGAATATTCATACTGCTTGTAAGAATAAGAGCTTTAGGGGACGACTTATTTAGACTTTTCTCCTCAAGAGATCTGCAAAACAGGAAGTAATGTGTTTTTTCATGAAGCAGAAAACACAGTGAATTAATAAATTCACTAGCAGATTCATCTGTTAAAAAATGCACCTACAAGACACAGAATCACACAATGGCCAGGGTTGGAAGGACCTCAAGGATCATGAATCTCCAACCCCCTGCCACGTGCAGGGCCACCAACCTCCCCATTTCATAGCAGCCCAGGCTGCCCAGGGCCCCATCCAACCTGGCCTTGAACACCTGCAGGGATGGACGGGGCATCACAGCCTCTCTGGGCAGCTGTTCCAGCACCTCACCAGTCCCATAGTAAAGAACTTCCCCTTGCCTTCAGTGTATAAAACAGATTCCTTTACTTTTATTTCTTCATGAACTCTGATTCCTTTTTTTTTTCCTGTTCCAGTCAATTTTAGCTTCTTAAGTGTGAGAAACGACACCATTCTACACGATTTTAAATCAACTCCTGCTTTTTAATTACTGAACCCATTTCAACGGGGCGGAGGGGGGGGGGGATTGTTATCTTGTGTAGTGCTGCTTTGGAAGGAAAAAACAGTGGCATTCCAAATTGCCATAACAACAGGCTGCACCACTTAAAACAGGATAAGCTGTGTGTCAAAGTAAAACTGTTGCCGTGGTAACCGGCTCGTATTTAAAGTGCAGCCTGGTTTAATCAGCCAAATTGCCCCTTTTCAAAAAGGAAAACATGTAGGCATTCCCACACGAGAAGAGAGAGGAGAACGCACAACTTAATCAAGAATCAGCCCTTCAGTTTGTTTCCTGAGTGATACCTTTGAGTTCAGCAATGTCACTTGCTCTGCTTTTTTTATGTGTGTGAGAATTCCTGATCCTGTTTCACCGGAGAACACTCAGAAATTCCTCTCAGCTGCTTGTGCTACGCTTCCTTTGAGCAGATTAATAAGATCCTAGCATCTAAGCATGTAGGTGCAACTTCATGCAGTCACCTAGTGACAGTAGCACATATTTATATCCTCTCTGGGAAGACTTAAAAAATGGCAGGTGAGCTTAAATCAACATCACCTTAACATGAGCTTAAGTCAACATCTGCTGTTTCTATGAACCTCCTGATTAGAAGGTCAAAGCTAAAAGCTGTTCATCTTCTTTCTTTTTCCTTTTTTTTTTTTTTTTTTTTTTTTTTTTATTCTTCATTTTGAGAATATATTTGTGTACTGAAAAATAGATTGTTTCTGTTTGGAAGAGTTTTAAAGCATAGGTGTGTTTTCTCAGCCATATTGTGTCATGTCAAATTCCTGCACTTTTGTCTCTGAATGTTGATGAACCAGCAGGAAAGTAACATTTAAGTCACATGAGAATACAGAAAAGCGAGTAAACATAGCATTCCAAGTCTATACAAATGATCCACAATTACTAAACAGTTCTTTTGAGATACGTTCTGATATGGCAGAAGATGAGTAGAGCACACAACCTATAAACAGCAATTGCACAAATATCACCTAACCTCCCAGTATGTTTAGGAAGTACCAATAGCTTACCTTTCCTAATAACTTTTTGAGTAAGGGAGTCCAGTTCTCAGTCTCAGTGGTGTAGTTGCCTGTCTTATTTCTTTCAAAGCCTAGAGAACAAAGTGGTTGAATACAGAAAAAAGAGGTTCTGTAGATTTAGATTGGCTTCCTTCTCCTTGTCAGTGATGTTGGATCAGGAACTGCAAGAGAGCTCCTGGAATGAAAATGACCTCTTTCAAGACCAGATTTCATAATTTTAATAGACAAGTAGAATATAACAGGTGTCTTACTGAAAAAGGTTAAAGAAAAACATGAAATGTAAAGCACTTCATTTGTTTTTTGCATTCCCTGCAGAGAATACAAACTCTATTACATTACTGTTCTTCTACCAGAAATATTAAGGTTTCCTGAAAAAGGAAAAGCAGAATTTCAGAGGGATTTTGCCATTTCCTGGTGCAGTATCTCTATGCAAGATGCTACATATCTCAGAAGAATGGCGAGATCTTCCTCTAAAAGCTGCCAGAAAGTTATTAATTTCTAACACGGGACAAATGCAGAACACAAGTGATATAAGTCCAGAAATGGTCTGACTGTACTTTAAGCTTGCATATCTCATTGCTGCTGTGTTATGGTTATTTGAGGGTGACGTCACAACTGAGACTTTCAGAAATTAAATATAGCTATCAGCTCTCTTTTCTAAGTGACTGTCAGAACATTTCTTTTTCTTGCTCGTGGTGATAAGCCTCCCTTTCTGACACTTCTATAGCACTGCTAGGACATTGTTTTGGTTTTAATATATTATGGAAACTGCTTATGCTAGCTAACCAAAAGCAAATGAAAAAAATATCAGAGTTACTCTGTGGTATAACTAGACCTGAAGCTTCAAAGGTCTGTGAGATACAAGACCTGGAATCTCAGGCACAAAGAGCATTCCTCCATTTGCTTTCTTGAGTGACTGTCAGCATTACTGTGCATTCCTAGCATCACAGCACCACCTGCTACACCACAGCACATCATTGCTTGTGAGTTAGCAGTTTTGTTGAACAAGAAACAGGAGAAAAAAATAAAATAAAAGCAAGCTTTTTCCAGAAGGGCAAGAAATCTACAGCAGCCCACAAACATAAGTAGTGAAGCGAAATAATGACCACTGCATGAAAATAATTACTCTCAAGAATCCGGATCCCAAACACTCATTCTCTACTGCAGGAAGCAGATGGCTTCCTAAAGCTGACATTGAGGATATTTTTATATCGCAGCCAAGATGCAAGTGCAGCTCACAAAGACAACAAGTGAATCTGAGGTAATGCAGAGCCCAGTGCAGGCTCTGTGGAAGGGATCCTTGATAAGGATGCACACAGGTATTTTATCTTGAGCTCAGATAATTTGCCTGAAGCTGAATGTCACCCCATGCTATCTTTGCATTAATCTTGAAGGAGAAATCTGAAACTAGCTTGGAAGCCCTGAAACAAGTAAAGGAATGATTTAGTGTGTAAACACATCTTGAGATGGAAAGCAAACTTACCATAACACTCACAAACAAGAAGAACCAACACCACAGCATTGCTTCAGACTGAATACTGCTCATGTGTACCTGCTTTAAAATCATGCATAAAAGACAAAAGCCTTTGGCATGACACCTACAAACAAGATTCAGTCACTGCAGCTTGCAAGAAGCTAGACACTGAGGCTGCTCTGTTGTGAGGAGAAAGACATGGCCTCAAGGAAAGAGTCTTCCAGAGGTGCCCACTGCTACACTGAGTACCCACTGTTTAGCCATTTAATATGGATGGCCTAAAGTCCAAGCAGGCTGAAGGCCACAGGGAGAAGTTGCCCCCCACCATGGCAGAAGGCTACGGAACTGTCTGTAAGTCCTGGGCTATCTCCACTGCCCTGCACACAGTTGGGTGCCCCTTTCAAAGGGGAAAGCTTCTGCCCAGTTTTGCATATGGGAAAATGAAGGTGACAGCAAAAATTTAAGCTGGGAAGAGCCCTCAATGGGCAATACCCTTCAATGCTCCTGCCTGGCCCAAGAAGTCCACAGCGGGCCTGGATGTGATGAAACAGAGGAAAGGTCTCAGCGTCAGGAGCTCTGGGCTTAGCCAGGGGAGACGCCTCGTCTTGATCTCTGTTGTTTTACCCCTAGCACTCTCCCATTGTGTGCATACATTATTCATAGTTTAAAAGATGAAGGTTAAATAGGAGGAGAGTTTAGTCTGATGTTTAACATGTGCTACTCTTTCTGTATTTATATATAGAAAAGTTATTGCTGTAACAGCTGTATGGACATTATCTCTCCTTCTTTACGGAGGGAAGTTTTTACCAGTGTGATCAGAAATACATATTGGGGCCTGAATGCTCATAATTATAACATATTTCAATAAAATATGCTCTTGCTCAGCTGAAAGAACCTTTGTGATTAGCGTTTAACTCTCAATTGCAGAGAGAAAAGCAGACCAGCTTTGAAAAAAACAAACAAACAAACAAAAAAACCAACAAAACCAAAAATAAACAGTAGGGAGGATCTTTCTGAAAGGTGAATGTAAAGAAAACAGATCCAGCTCATTTTGCTCATGTCTAGTGCTAGGACAAGAGGCAATGGACACAAGATGTTGTTTCTGAACACTTGTCAATTTTACCTGGAGCTTCTCTTCTGGTTTACCAAACAGCAGGAGCATCTGGGCAGGTTGGATCTGGCCTGATCTCACTGGGGTGGTCTTGTGTTCTTCCCATTGCAAATTCCAGTCCAAGCAGAGCCTGTTTTGGGATTACCTCAGTGGGTAATCTTTGATGTGCATGAAAGTGCTTTCTAATGTACCAATAAAAAAATGACACGGTATGTTAGCATTTTGTTGTTTTTTTTTTGTTTTTTTTTTAAAATAATATATATATAATTTTAACATTTTTAATCTCTGCAGCAATATTCAAATCTTTGCTTTTAATGCAGAGCCACTCCTTTAGGATGCACATGAGGATCCCAGTCTTTTACTTTAGCGCGTTTGATCTTTCTGTAGCTGTTGCAGGCACCTTCTCACACGTACTAGAAGCAGCCAGGCACTAAAAGAAAGTGTCAGTCTCAACTTAAATGACTGGTACAACTTAAACAGATTGCTGCTGCGTGGCTGCCTCCTCATCACAAAGCTAAAGACATGCTACAAGTGAAAAAAAATCTTTATATCCCAGGCACAAAGCTAACTGTGGAGGAGCATGGGTGTTTGTGATGGCAGGCCTAGCATAAGTCAGTAGAGAAAATAAAATAGAGATCTACTCCACACTCCTAAATTCATATGAAAATCCTCATCTCCTGAAGGCAGACAGCACCATTTGTTCTGAGTGAGGCACTCTGCTAGCTAGATGAATACAGGCCATTAAATCTGGCATGCAGTGTTTAACGTTGCTACAATTGCAGAATAAATTCAGCTGCAGTGTTTTTCCTCCTTCTCTTCTGCTCTTTCCCTTGGGCATTAATTAAATACAGCATTCACAAGCGAGGCCCCTTTAGGAATGATTGTTCTTTACATATTACAAATCTCAAGCTGTGAATGCATGGGATAGCTATATTAATTTCTAATCACCATTTTTAACAGGAAGCAGCTGGGCTGCATCAAGCCAGCAACTGATATCTGTAGGAATTCAAATACTTTTGTCCATTAGTATGCAAATGTAAAATCGAACAGAGTCTTATTGCTAGAACAATGAATTTTAGTTGTTTGAAAATATGAGTAACTACAAGGAAGTTAAAATTAGACCACAGTCCTCCTAGATACAGTTATTTGTCATTTATATGTTGTCCGAATGCCTCAGGTGTTTGTGCAAACACATGAGAAGTTCATATGGTAAAAAAAAAATACACATCCAAGTGTGCCTGAAAAGCGTACAGAAAGTGGGAAATCCATCAGAAATCCTTAACATCTCTGTCAGAATGACTGGGTTACAAACCTGAAAGAAAGGAGACGTTCTACTTCCATAAAATAAGACTTAAACATTATATAAATAGCATTTATATATAATATGCATGTGCAATATAGATTGTATTTTCCATTGCACGTTTTCATTGTCGAGCTGAATTGCCTGGTTTGTGCTTTCTCCATTATTTTGCCTTTATTGGTATTTGAAAGCACATTAATTATTTAGGAAAAAGCATACTCAGTTATGTCTGTACTTTCTGTTGCAATCAGCCCTTGACCTAGATCCACGCAGTTCTCAGAAATTATGTTCCTTAAGTTCTTCAGATATTCTACTTCAAAGCAGAGCGAGCTCTTAAAATGTTGTACTTAGTCAAAACTCAATGTGTTAATCAATATTGGACAAAACTCATATTGTCCTACTCTCAAGAGCCATTTTTAGTGTATTCAATAATTGCTTCACAGCTGGCCTTAATAAAAACGAGCGTTGGAAAGAAGCCAGGCTCCCTGTATTTAAACACACGTCTAGCTGGAAAATAAAATGTTACTGCAGTCTGATATTTAGAGATGTCAGACAGACTGATTTTTTTGTGTAGTAGTAGAGAGCTCAATTTAATATGCATCCCATATCTTAAGCATACAAATAACATAACGCAAATTGAGCATTAACAACATCCCATCTCCATAAACAGAGCCAAAATATATATATGTGTATGTGTGTGTGTGTGTGTGTATATATATACATATATAATAATGCTTTAATGCATTGTTCTTTCTTCATTGTTATGATCAAATCAGAAGGGAGGTGCGCAATCAGGCTCAAAGGTATGCATGAAGCCCCAGATCAGAACTGTAGGTAAACTGTAAACATGACAGTCTAATGGAAGGACAGACTGTAATCCAAAACTGAATGTAGCATCATTATCTCACTGTATCTCTCTACCTACCCAGAGGTGTCCAGAGGTAAAATTTAATGCCAAAAGAGGAAAGATTAGAGATTGCTGAGGAGAGGGCTCTCTGGATAAGAGAGTGTAATAGTTCTAAATTGATTTTCCATAAACGCTTTATGTGGCATTTGTTAATAGCACTGTTAAGGTAAAACCCTTAATTAAAACATTCTACTTACATGTCACTCACAGATTTCAAACAAACTGGAAGGATCATCCTGTAAACTGTATTTCTCAGTTTAGTCTTGAATTGTGACACAGCACTTCCTTCATCTGGCTTCACAGCAGAAAAGATGTCAAAACAACACCCTAATATCTAGCTTGAATAATTGTTACAGCAGGCCTTTGAAGATCCAGCAGTATTCTTTGTCAGGTTCTCCAGGCGAATATGTAAACATGTTTTATATTCTGTTGAAATCCCAGTTCTTGGGGAAGAGACATGTTTGACTTCCCAGCTTTCACCATCTCCTTCAGACAGAACGCTGTGAACTGAGCTCTGGAAGAGACATTCCTGTTGCTTCTATTTATTTGTAAATTGGTTGTGGTTCCTCACCTGCCTGATCTATCTTCCTGGTTATTGTGTTCCACAGCAGGAACTGTATGCTTTGGGTAAAGGACACAGAGGTATTGTGCATTTCAGACTAAACATAGATAGCTCTGAAAGTAAAGACGACGTTTTTAGCAAACAACATCCCAAAGTGATAATCTTCATGTATTTTAGTTTAAATGGCTGTAATTTAATCACACATTACCCAAGATGTAAAGCTTGTCTATCATCCATTTTTACAGTTTACATACTTCGGAAAAGCAGAAACATCATGAGAATTCTAATGAGCCTTTGCTACCATGTAATAACAGAACTGTAAACTGCCCTGTGTTTTAAATTTGCTCTTTGGCATCACTCAACCAACAAGCTTGGGAACATGGATTATACTTATTCTACTGATAAAGCTTATTCTACTAATTTCCTTGAATAAATATGTAAAAACTGTCATTCACACCCGTGTTTCTTGGAACAAACAGCTTTCAGGAAATGCAACAGAAGCAGATGGCCGTCATGAGAGTCTCAAGTGCTAAAAAAAATATAATAAAACATATCAGCAAGTTTATATAGCTAGTTTGATGTTGAGTAATGTTGAGACCTTACTACTACCGCCTTCATGTTCTCTGTTTTTCTCTCTTCTCTTCAAAGTCACGCTTGCTATAGTGTTGGTTTATTACATGACCCTTCCGTGCAGGCCATGGAAACCTCAAGTTGTGTAACAGTAGAGATAGGAAGATCTTATCTTCCAGGATAGCAAGTCCAGCAAGTACATCCGTTCTGCATTCTGAATTAGATGCTCAAGGTTTCTCTGCAAGAAGAGACTCAGAGATGCTGAAAAAAGGAGGCATGCAATCACCCATGTGCTCAAGAGGCTGCAAGCAGGCCGATGGCAAAGCGCAGCAGACAGCACAGCGCTGCCAAGTTGGGCACAAGGCACTCTACCTCCTGCTTGGCTTTCAACAGAATAATTAAAATGACTGGGCCAGAGAGAATCTCTGGTGTAGTGGTCAGGGCACTCGTCTGACCACATTTCCTTCTTGGCTCCAGTCAGTGCCGAAGCAATTTACGTTACTTACTCCTTGTGGCAAGGGCTGCACCCTGAGCCGCATGCAGTTAAAGGAAGCTGAAGAGTCTATCTGTTCAAACTTGAGCAATAACTAGCCAGGCCCTGAAGCAGAATTCTACATAGAAGTATTTCAGGTGAAAATGTAGGTAGGTAGGCGAAAATGTTTTTCTCTGTGCAGTCTTAAAACTTAGGAAGAATTGAGTACATTTCTGGTTTTGCAATTTCAATTTGGGTGCATACTTTCCATTTGAAGCCTTAGAATCTGAGAAAGGAAGGAAAGAAATCAAATTAAATATTTACCCCAGGAAAACATGAGACAAATTTCTGCATGCTCAGCACTGCTGATCAGCAAATACTCAAATTAAGTATTAAATATATTAACTAAGCCTTAAACATTAAGTATTTATAAATATTTAAATTAGATATCTAATATACTATTGTAAATACTAACGTTTTAATACAAATATTTTAAATATCTTGAACAGTTTGAGAAGCAATGATTATATTTTGTTTCTTTATTGTATTATTTTTCTCTTGATTGCCACTATCAATTTCTCCTACAGTAGATTAACACAGCATTTTCCCAGCACAGGAATAGGCAAAAAAGAAATTCATTTTAGTCTTAGAATGACAAATTTGAGAAAGACTATATTTTATATTTAACTCCTCTGTATATGTATATGAATTATATGTAATGCCATTTTACATACTTCTATAAGCATGGTATCTACATAGCAATCTTATGAAAACGAAGAACTCAATTTCATTAAGAAACGGGAGAAAACTAGTGATTTTTTTTTTAATCAAGAAAGAATAAGTAAGAAAAATGAAGGAAAGCAAGCCTTCATTATGTTATCTAATTACTGCAACACATGTAATCTCATCTACTTTGTTTCAAATATGATGAAAATGAAGAAAAATCATTTCAACAATAAATATGCATCAATTAATACCAGTACTCAGGGACTTATTTCAGTAGACAATTATTATAGAACTAGAAATAGAAAATATTTAAAGAGTAAAAGGGCTATATAACAATTTATGTGACAAAGAAATGCACTCAGAGGTGTTGTATTTTCATACTTAAAGTCAATCTCAGCAGAAGTGTAATTTGAAGCACTAATGTCTTTGCAGTTTCCCTATCTACATCTGTGTTTGTGCATTTTTGTATCTGGAAAAACTAATATAGACAATAAGTGACATTACAAGAAATACAGGAAACTATATTAGGAATAGCATCCTAGGCAAATTTTCACAAAATGTCATGCCCAGATAATTACTCATAATTTTCATGCTGACTTCCCCAGCACAGCTAGAATTCCCCATAGGGTCACTATGCGTTCTAACTGTACAACAATAGAAAGAAAAATCTGGCTAAAATCAGATAGCCATGTTAGTCATAATCTGACTTCCTGAAATGACTGGTAGCTTTCGTTTTGTACTTCATTAAACTCGCTTATCACTGGGTCAGAAGCATTCAGAGAAAAACAGGGGATGAAAAATGAATTATGTGCTCAAAACAACACACCGGGGATAATATTAATGTCCTCTCTGTTTTAACATTGAAATAAGAACGAAACAAAAGGAGGAGTGTGAATTATACACCATATTGAGCTTTTTCATCACCTTCTAAAGTCCTTGGACCCTGTGCTTCAGGATAGCAAATTTCTGACTGCAGCTGGAATTGCTGGATGGAATTCCCTAGGAAACTGCCCTTAGGGGCAGGCACAGAACAGGACTGGCAACTCTTTAAAAGCATCCTTCTGAGAACACAATGCTCTCCATCCCCCAGCAGAAGTCGCCAAGCAGGGGAAGCAGGCAACCAGCATGGCTGAGCAAGGACCTGCAGCTTAAACTGAGGGAAATGTACAGAAAGTGGGAGCAGGATTGTGTAGTCTGGGAGGATACAGGGCTGTTGTCTGCATGTGTAGGAAAGCCAAGGCACAGAGGGAGTTGAATTGGCGAGAGAATTATCAAAGATAACAAGAAGGGGTTCTACAGGTACACAGGCAGGAGGAGACAGGCCAAGGAGAGTGTTCCCTCTCTGATAAAAGGTAATGGAGAGCTGGTCTCCTCAGACATGGAAAAAGCTGAGGTACTCAGTGAGTGTTTTCCCCCAGTCTTCATGGGTGGTCAGGCTTCACTGGAGGTCTGAGCAATGGATTCTGTCCCACTGTTACAGTGGAACAAGTCTGAGACCTCCTTGTGCAACTAAACGTGAGCTTGTCCTTTTGACTCGTCTCTCCTGAGTACAGTTCCTGAGTGATATTAGTGCAGCTAGTACTTTAGTATTGAACACTCCTCACAGTTAAAACACAGCTCTAGCTTTACTCCATCACTGTAGCCAGATCCAGTTTTAACTCAGTTATGCATGTTTCAACTAACCTAAGCAATTAGGAGACAAGAGATGAGCGAGTTTTTACTTACATGTCATTGACTTTTGATGCATCTAATCCACTGAGCAAGGTAGAATTCAAGATACAATAGATCAGTCAGGTGGAGCAAGAGAAACCTCTACAGCCTGGCAGTTCAAAGCAATCAACCTGGAAAAGAAGTACTATTTTCCATGCCTGTTCTGAGAACAGCTTTTAAGTATTACCCTGTATCTCCCACAGCAAAATATATTGATTGCCTTTTTAATAAAGGCTAGAACTGACAAAGGCAGCAGAGAAATCTAATGTTTGAGTCTGATTAAATTTAGATATGAGACAGATGCCTGTAGTCAACCTGGTCAATACTAAAATGCTGTAGTACGTACAAAAAAAAGGAAAACTATGGATTTAAACTGCTTTGATGAAGAATCGCAGAGTTCAGTGATTTCCAGAGTTGGGGAACAGCTTGCATGAATATTTTTAGGGTGAAGCCTTTTCTGCCCTAGTAGGTTTTGTTTAGAAGAAAGACAAGTAGGCTTTGCTTAGATTGGACACTATAATCACTGAAATCAATGATACAACTCTGTGGTCTGAAGGGTTCAAAATCAAGTGCTAAAAGCCTCCAGGGAACCATCAGCAGTGTAATTCCCCAATGATCTAAGAAGATTGGGATACCTGTTGAAATAACCAGCAAGGTATATTGCACACATTTATTTGTCAGGCTGTGTAATCAATGAATATTAAGATGCAATAACTACGAAATAAACAAGAGAGCTTGGCAAAGCAGACTATGATAACAAAAAGAGAATAGATAGAAAGCTTACCCCTATCCTGGGCTCACTCACAAAACTCCAGCAGAGCAGATCTCCAGCAGAGATCCTTCCCCACTGCTAGCCAGCTCTTAAATAGCTCTAGGAATTGCCTTCACCTGTGCTTTGCCTTCACCTGTGCTCCTCTGGCTGACTCATGGCTCACCCCAGGTGATCAATTAGAGGTTCAGGCCCTGACTCAGCAGCTCCCAAACACTGGCTTATGTAAAACTTTATGGAGAATATTGAAAAGAAAAAAAAAATCAACAAGTTGTAAAAAAAGCTACTTGGTCTACCAAGTATGAATAGATGCGTTGTATTCTCCAGGAACTCTTTCTATTGTTTGAGAAGAATTCTTGAAAGCATTACACGTGTTAAATGCTTAACTGAAAGCATGAAGAGGGAGTGTGGAACTGCAGACAGATACGTCACGAAAGAGGTATCTGCACAATTAAAATGGAAAATTATGTGACTGAAATGAAATTAAACAACATCATTAACTTGTTTTTCACTAGAAACAAATTTCTGAGAGTACTGGTCAAAGAGGCGTATAAGAATTGAAATCAATACGTTGGTCAACACTTGCATTTTTTGTTTCTTTTGACACAAGTCTCTGCATGAACTTCACTTTTGAATTGAGTACACAAGATTGACTAAGTAGATTCCTTAGCTGTATTCAGAGTAATAACTGTGTACAAGAGACAAGAAACTGGATACTTGTAAAAATCTCCAGGGAGTGAAAATCTCAAACTGAAAAATTCAGAATAATCCTGAATTTATTCTTCTTGTCTAGGTATGAATCTTTTTGCCATATGTACCTGAAGTATTTCTGAGTAACCTGGAAACATGTCAGAGTGGCTCCAAGAGGCCTTTCATTGCAGTTTTTGTGCTATACTAAAAACACATCTGAATTAGAAGCTTCTTATTGCATTTTTGCTTAGAAATACAAGAAGAAAATGAAGTGATAGTCAGCAAACCAGATGTACAAAAACCTGATGTTACTGTGTTCACATCAGTACCAGCACAGTGAACACCTAAACGCAGACTGCATTTTGTTTTCTCTTCTTTTAAAACACTACCAATCATGAGTATCATTTACTTCCTTCAGCAGATAAGAAAGTCAAGTTTTATACCAACTCTTTCTGATTCCCAGAGCTGTCACTGAAATATTGCTATGAGCTTAACCTTTCTGGTTTCTGCTTTGCTGAAATTCAAGAGACATTAACATTTGTATTTGTATACTGGCTTCAGCTCTAGTTAGGGAGCTTACACAGCTCTTCAGCGTGTCTTCATTTCTATGTTTTGCTGTTCTCTCACACTGACAACACTGAAGTTATTTGTAGACCTGATATGGACTTACCTGTTCCACTAAAGACAAGTGCACAAATAAGAGCAGTACTGTGACACTGCGTGACAGTGTTTTCAGTGCAGCACTTTTTCATTTCCTTCTCGGTCACAGAAGGTCACTTATTCAAGTTATGTGACTAACCTGAAAGATCCTGGTCTAGAATGAGTTGGACCAATTGGATACTGAAATAAGAGACTGAAGATGTGATGAGTCCTACTGTGCAATCTGTTGAAATTCAACATTTCCACTGATTAACTAAATGCAAAAATCAAGACAAAACACAACAGGATAAACCGTGTATTGACTTTTAAATTTAACAGCATTCTGCAACATTCAAGCTAATATTTGGCATAGGAAGGAATGCTAGAAGGGAAATACATGTCTGGTAACAGTACTTTGTATTTCCTTTAATTATTTTTTCTCTTAATTTTTCTGTCTCCCATTCACTGCTGAGCTCGTTTCTCTCAGCTCCTGTTTCTCAGTTTAAATTTATTTTTATCTTATTGATGAGTCACTCGTCATTCTCTGGTTTAAACACATCCTGCATCTCTGGATATTCTCAAGTGCTTTTTATATAAAGGAAGAGGAGGACTGTTAATGGTATCGTGACTCTTTATTCTGTTTCACTCAAAAAGGAAGTTAAGATGGTATTTATTTATAGTCTGAAATATTCTTTATTTGTTTTCCTATTGAAATTTCCTTCAGGTTCCTATGAGTGTATTTACCCAGCTCTGCTACTACTTACTTCTCACTCGCTGCTGGTGGTTGTTTGCCTGCACTCCATCAGTTCCACTAAAGCTGAAAACATTAAATTCTCATAATTATAATGATGTCATTCAAAAAACTAGAACTAAGGTCATGTCAGCAATTCCATTATAAATCCTTAATTTAAATGGTCTGCAATAACTCAACCATAAAATATGTTTTGAGACGAACCTGAGCATGTAAGGTCTCAGGCCACCAACAACATCCTTTTTGCAACTGGAAAAAAAAATAAATAATTGGAAAACACTCAATCTGCAAACATTTCAAGAATGAACTAAATGCTTGTGAAGTTGTAGACGTATTGGCCTCTGAACTGAGGTATGGTGAAATCTGCAGCCATACGAGAGGTGCGTTACAGGTTTCTTCTGTTGTGCTCAGTTTGACTGACAAGATTCTTATGCCATGTTAGGAGAATTGCTTAAACACCGTGCAAGCTGATCTCTGCTTTAAGACTGATAGTAGGAGAGTTATTTTATGACAGTTTTGGTATTAAATTAAGGGAGCGGTTAAAAGCATCAACACCAGCCAGTGCCACCAAATTGCACCTCACACCTCTTTCAGACACAAACGAACCATCCGGAATAATGAACCATGACCTTGTTGGGATGAAAGATTTTCTTTTTTTCTTTATAGAATAATCTGGTTCCTCTGCTGCTTGAAATGCAATATGAGTTCAGATGCTTCTCACATTCTTGTTCCTACTCATTTTAAATGGTTTCATTTTTTTTCCTGTATTTTGCACACAACCGAAGCAGAGCCTTGGTCTGTATTGTCACAGTTCCCAGTGCACGATTTCCAGGTGGTATCTCACAAAACTCCACCTAATAAATGGAAAACAAACAGCTCATTAAATTCTGTTTGTATTTACGTAGCATAACCTTGTATAGACCGACATAAAATATAACTGGCACAGATCAAACTTCATTTAGAAAATAATGGATTGAGAATTTTCCTATTGATTTAGTCATGCCTATGCATTTCAAGAAGTCTCAGCTGATTGCCATTCACTTTAAACAGAAACATTCTGTCTCTATTGCTACCATTATCCATGGGTTTTGATCTTTATGTATTTAAGACTGAAATACAACACGATGCTAAGTCTTCATATTTATTATTTAATGCAATATTCTGTGGACAAGACCTATAAAAGTAAATGCTGTGCTATACGTATAAATCTCAAGGAGGTGTGGGTGCTTTCTTTATTTTTATTTTCCTTCTAATTCAAATAACTAAACTTCATAATTAATCCGATTTCATTTAAACTTGCAGCACTATTTTGTTCCCCCTCATCTTGGTTCTACGTGCTGCGGTTGAGTGTTATTAGAAGAGACTATAACTTCAGAGGAAAATATATCAGCTCTAAAAGTTGTTAGCATCATGAAATATATATTTTATAAAACTTCTAAAGATATTCCATAAAATGTTCACTTTCTGATATCTAACTCTAATTCTTATTTTATGTCATGTACGTCCTACCAACAATACCTATAATAAAACATAGAACTCGATCTCATTACATTCAAAAACTTAAATTCCTGATTTTTTTTCCTTACTCAGCTACCAAAGATGACATTCAGATCTTTATACCACATGATGAGCTTTTGATCAGCAATTTTCTACATTCTTTTACATTGGATAGCCTGCTTGTATGCTTGTGGGAGCTTTATCTCCATCCATGTTATCTAGAATGTAATACAACCATATTCAGAATGTCGTAGAAAATGAGGAATGTTACTGTGATGCTATCTATTAAACGCACAAGAGGAAGACAGCACTTTCGTTGTTATCAGTTCACTCCTTGTCGTAGTTTTACAACATGAAAAGGCCCTGATATGCCTACCCAAGGCAGACAACCCACCACAGATCTCCCACAGTCAGAAGTGACAAGCCATGCCAACCAAGGACAAAAAATACCTTAGTTACACCTGTGGGGTGCACTGCTTGTGTATGGCACTGCTCTAGCTCTTCTTTTAGTACTCAGGACAATATTTCATCTCAGCATCAAACTGAGTTTTCCTATGCTGTCTGAGGGTAGTTTGGGAATGTCTAGAATTCAGGTGCCTTGCACGTGTGTATTTCCAAAGGAAAAAATATGTGACTGAAGTCTAGGAAAAGCGTCAAGTCTTCCATCTTTAAAACTCCCCTAGAATTTAAGAGTAAGTTGTCCAAGTAAATTTCAAGGTCTCTATATAAGTCTGTGCTAAAATTACGAGTTGTATTTTCACCGTTTCAAAATTTGCCTTTCAAATCCTTTCTTGTGTCAGCAGTGACGACAGTAAAAGATTGGCAACTCTGAAACCGTTCAGGGCTTTCTTCCATCTTCATCAAGACTTCTATTCTTAACAGTTTTGCAGTGATGTAATTACTTGGGGAGGACAGTCAGTTGACTGCACTTACTGAGCAGTTTTGGTGCTTGTCTTAACGATATAATAAGAAATAACAAATGACATCTCACTGACGTGGACAATGTCATTTTGTCCTATGAATTTGAGGGTCACTGGTTTTGATGAAGGGTTCTATATTCATAGGAGAATCACTCCTTCCTTTCTGAAGGTGGGAGAAGTACCATCACTTTATGACATGGTGCATGAATAAGCAGCAGCATTAACATATCAACTATTGTGAGTCACTACTTCAGGGGACAACTGTATTTGAAGTTGGAAAGAAAACCCATTATATTCAACTTCTTTCCTGCCAGCAAACAAAGATGAAAGAAAAGTGATAGTACTTAAAAACAGACCAAATAAAATGTTCAGCTCAGATGACCTATAATACTTTACTGTGAATTAGAATTTTTTTTCTTCAATCATCCACATACTTGCAGCATTTCCCAGTAGACATTGTTCCCAAACACAATAAGCTTGAAGACTTGGCTGGGTCTCATGATCAGGAAAGCTCTTCAGCTTCTATGATTCAGAACTGATTGATGGAATGATAGCCTTGATTTCAGTATGAATAAATAAGTACAAACTATTCCTGTGTATTGCAGCTTGTATTATTTCTTTCTTTCCACTTTTGCTGCTCTTTACTACTCAATCAGGCTTTGAAATATTACCTCGTGCAGTAACATCTCAAGTTGTCAGACTTCTTCCCCATCCTTAAGATTCACCTGGACAAGGTAGCATGAATGACTTTTATTCTCTTATGTAATGTAATATTCCCTTATGTAAGAATGCTCATTCTTCAAGACATTAAGTAAAACCAGCAACACCAAGAGTAAGAATATTTTGGAGCCTTGTCCAATCCACATATTCCATCCAACAACCTCCTTGCAAGAGTTTTGTTGTTGTTGTTGTTGTTTTAAATACAAAGTACTTATCTCCCTCAGATTCATATTCTCTACTTTCTGCAAAAGAATCACCAGGAAATTTTTACTGCTAATTCGATGTGATAAGAGTAAGCTGGAAGTTATCTTGGCCTAAATGTTTGCCTGTGCCTTAGAGATGCAGTCTATAGCATTAGCATCTGAGTCATTGTCAGTAATCACCCATTTCATCAGCACAGGTCTGTTTTGTTACCTTACGTAACTATTTTTAAACTTGTTTGTATCAAGGGCTTTATCTCTTTCCTTCCAGCTGTTCCAGAATAGTGAGGGTTGTCATTCCCTCTTGCATTCAGAGCTACAGACTGAAGTAATACCTTTTCCCCCTTGGGCTAGCGCTTCGATGGCCAGTTTGTGTTCTATTCTGGACAGCCTCATTGCCATACTCATATCTACATAGGTATTTAGCATAGTGTTTTGGTATTTACTTTTTAGGAAAAGGCAAATGAAAACTAATGTGCAAATAAAAGCCTTCTTATTGCTTAAATGGCAAATATCTTCAATCTTCATATCATCCATAACAAGAAAGTGTCATGTTCTGACAAGTCCTAGAAATGACATGAGCTGAGGCAAAGTGTTTCTATACAGTATTTAAGAACAGTATTAAAATAGGCTTTATTATTTCTCAGATTTCTCTTACCATACCAATCTAAGCAATCTAATTCACTCTCTGCAATATTACTGACTAATTCATTGAATAGTGCAGCACTTATTTCCTTGTTTTGACTCTCTTCCATTATCTTTGGTTAAAGCTTCTGCATACCAAAGATAGTTTTGCTAACTTAAATGTAGATGTAAGGGACCTTGTCCAGGGTTTCTGAGTCTCTCAAACTGTGACGATGTTGCATAACGTAAACACAGAGCTGGAGAAGAAGCTGAATCCTGAGACATCCATTCAAATGGATTAATACTTTTGTATTAATTCTCCAGAGTGCTCTCAAATTCTTTAAGTGTGATTGTGCCAGTCTTGGGACAAAACAAACTTTCAAAACTGACAGTGATATTGGCAATTGCCTTTCATCTTGCAGGAAGAAGTAAATAGCTCCTCTCTGTAGTTAATTCCCCAACCACTCCACTCTCCTTACATGACTGCATATACTTTATTTTTTCAGGGAAAAACATACAAACTGAACTTCATTCAAAGTTTGAATTTCATGCCATTTATCCTTCACTGCTAGTTGTTTGATCTCAGATCTTGTTGCTCTGAGACAGTAAGAAAGCCTGATGACTTGTATTCTTGCTCTACATGAGGTTCCAGCTTACATGCACAAAGAACACTGCCATCAACTGGTATAAGACTCACTTTCATTGTTTTTCCTTCAAGAGACCTTTCCAACTTCTGCCTTCTATCACTGATAGCATCAGTCAAGTACTTTATTTTCACAGGTGGAAACAAATTATGCTATACTGCACTCCTAAGAGAGAAGCAAGAATGTATGTCTTGACATAATGTAGATATAACACAGAGATTTAACAGCAATTGAAGATTAAGGATGCACTTCATCATTTACTGCTTAGAAAGTGGAAACACACACAGGAAACCCTCCCATAGACTCATAGCTTTCATAGTAGACCCCCTTGCTTTCTGAACAGCTTGAAACACACAAGTAAGAGCTGACTCTACTCCTGGCCCTAGACTTTGCCAATGGTTTACATCTGAGGGATTATACATGCACTATCGATTTAAGATATAATCTTAGCAAAGCCAACAAAGCATACACTCAAAAGTACAATCTTAACAAAGCTAGCAAAGCCTAAAACAATTAGTCACTTTCTGCAGATCTGTAGGGCAAGGCATCTTGACATCAAGACATAAGGGATTTCTGTAGAGATGTACTTACAACAGGTGTCCCTGCTCAAGAGAAGCTGCTACCACACAACCAGCTGCTACACAGGGAAGCTCAAAGGGGGTCACCTGCTGCTCACTATTTATGGGGTAAGGTGATTGACTCATAGTCACAGGTTGCTTTTCAGGCACGTGCTCAGTTGATCTTCAGGTGCTGAACCAGATGTCTGCTATCAGTTCTTTTAGACCCCCAAGTTTGAGACAGATTTGAGGTTGTTGATCTGTCTTAGCAAGAAGGTTATCAGTCCTGTCGCCCATTGTCCACCTGTGCAAGGCCTTGTCTGCAAGGCCAGGTCAAAGGAGACTGTTGATAGGGAAGGAAGGTGTTAGAGTGTAGCAGGGAGGACGTAGTGTACAACCTTTTTCTGAATTCACTCCAATCAATCTAACAAATCAACCTACTCACCTCCATAAAGCTTTATCAGGGTCTTGCTGTCCAAAGGTTTTAAAAAAGCTAGAAGTCTGTAAACAGATGTTGCAAATCCGGTCTGCCCTATGCTTTGACTCAGTTAGATGCGTTCTTGTTATGACTCTGTGTGCTTCTGTGATCCATGAGTGGTTCCCAGTCATTTGGAGCTCCTGCTGCAGATGAGTGTATTGCTTTTTGCTGCAAATTTCTTTATATTCTGAAAATAGACTGTGGAGATCAAAATTCCAATTAGACTTACATGTCATACTGATCATTTCTGGGAATATTTTAATTATAGTTAGTGTGTTCACACTGTATGTTCTAGACATGAAAATGTTCTAATTTCTAGAAGATGTAGCAAAAATCAAACTGTACATAAGTAATACTAATAAGCAAAGATGATAGTACAAATTTCAACGTTAGATGGGAATAAATTTGTAGGTGTAGGTAGGTATTGGGAATTCTGGATTTAGCTTTTGCCCATAAGATTTTTTTGTGTGTTACCTTGAAAAGCTGTCTAGACATTTGTGCATGAGTACAAATTGTGGCTTTCTCTGTAAGACGTTAATGCAATTGTAGTCAGAGGAGTCACCTGGGTGGAAATCCCACCAGAAAAAGAATTAAAGGAAGCACTAGGAGGACCTGAAGTTTTGTGATCTCTTTCCTTGAGGTTGTAGCAATAAGACATTCAAAGTGCTTAACAAAGTTCTGACCCACACGCCGGTAGTTGAGCAAAGAGGGATATAGAGAAAGTGATGGTAGGAGTTTTAACATTTACAAAACTTATGCTGCATTACAGGGTAATGGTCTTTGTTAGGCCTGTTGTCAAGCTCTGATTTGAAAGACCTGAATTTCTGAGGGGCTGCTGAAGATCGAGAGACCATGAGGGCTATTCTGCTTTTGCCATTACTCCCAATAAAGAAATCTTCTTGCTTTATAGTTGAGCTAGGAATTGTAGAATTTGTATACTTGGCTTCTGCACCTAGTCTCTATGGGCCCAAAGAAAATGCAAACTTTTTGTTTCTGTCCCAGCTTCTCCCTTTTCTTTCCAAGCAGGGTTGGGTCCTTCTTTTTTTCTGTTCTGGTATTAAAAGGCACTCACCCTATTTTTCTTGACCACATACAGGCTGTCAACAACGTTGTTTTTCAGAGATGGGAATTTCTAAAGAGTCCCCTCAGCTGTAATATAAAGATACAAATAAATATGTTGTAAAAAATGAATTAAAAATTACTTAACTAGCTTAAGCCCTGGCAAGCAGACAGAGTGCAGATAACATTCTCCATTAAATTTGTAGCACTTCACACAATGTGAAGTTTGAGAACTACAGGATGGGCACATGTTTTATTCAGAAACCAGTGAGAGTTTACTGCTGTGCCAAGTGACTGTCAGAAAATTGGCATAAGATGTCCTCTGTGTTCTATTCTGGGATATTGAAAACAATTAAATACGAGAACAGATTTTTATTTTAATTTTTTTAGTACTGTCTCAGCAAGTACTGGAGAATCCTGAAAAAGACCTAAAATTTGAGCTCTCTTTTCATGCTATTCTAAGCTCAACATATTTGGTTTAGCATTACGAATTTAAGATTATAAAATCAGCCTTCCTTTACAATTCCAGTTCACTTTTTAAAGGCTAAACCTCTTGCCATAATCAATAAAGCATGTAATACAAATCTTTCGTTTCCACGTAATGATTCTAAACAGAGAAACTCAATGTTTGTATCAATGTCTTCAGTCAACTCACTCCACATGTCTAATTTCTCCTTTTATGTTCACTATTTCTTCACTTGTCTCTCAGATCTGCTGCTTATTGCCTAACTTCCTACATTTTCTCTTGGCTTGAGGACTAGTGGATTGCTCTCCGTGTGTAAAATGCAGTTGTCTGGACCAAATTCAGCTAGTATCTGAGTGAGCTGTGAAGGTCTCATAAGGTTAATCTCTTGTCCTAGCGTATTTAGGCAAGAAACAGGAGTAATTTATACAACTTTGCCTCTGAAAACAGGAAAAAATGTCAAATATCCAGTGTGGCTCATAATGCAATCAAGGAAAAATAGAGCAGGTCTTGGTTATTGCCCATCAGATCTATGCAGGAGAGAACACGGATGAAAACTGGGAATTCCAGTGCAGTGATTGTATTCAAGACTGGGCACCTGGGGTAAAAACCCAGGGGTAAAAAACGGTGAAATTTGTATTTTTTTATCCAATACCAAGTAAAAATCTACCCAGTATTTCTACAAGAAACTTGATTTGTTGGACTTCTGCTTCTGGTTTCACCGAGTCTAGGGTCTTTATGGAGTCTACTTGCAAATCTTCATTCTGCATCCCTGCAGCTCCTGCAAGAAGCTAACTTAGGCATTTATTAAATATTCCAAGAGTACAAACTTGCTAAATTGATGAAGCTTTTCTACTGCTGTGTTTCAAGTAAACCAATTTTTATGTAAACCCTACAACCTAACAATGCAGCATACAGTATTCACTCATCTCAATCTGGATGGACTCTTTGGCAGGCAGGCAGATGAAAAGTAAAGAAGGACAGGATTGGGATTTGAAAATCCTTGTTCTAGATATTCAGTATTTTGCCACTCTAGAAATGTTTCAAGCATTCCTTTACCATATAATTGTAACCTTTATTTTCAGCAGCTTTGTATAAAGAAAACAGATGTAGTACAGGCAAATTCAAAATTCATTAAGAGATACCGTGAATTGTGCATTGTCTTCTCTTCTGCAGTAGGATTTGCAACATAGCTTGCCATTTCTTAAGATTTTTTGTAGTTATAAAGAATAAGCTTACTATAAAAATTTGAGGTGTTTTGCAATTTGCCATTAGTCTTGATTATACAAGTATTGCTTATGTTTCTTGGTAGGACTTTGTTTCCTAAATTGAAACTCTCTTAATGGGAAAGCACACCAGTATAAGGAAAAAAAATAAAATAAAATGGCAGCAACAGAGAAGGCAGAGAAAGGAAAAAACTTCTAAAAATTGTTATTTTTTACAAATTGGTTTTTTTGTGGATTATCTCTGAGAGAGGGAAGATTAATTTTAAAGAATATGGCCTACAGAGAAGTTTAAAACTAAATCAGAAATGAACATCTACGAATGTAGATGACCCCCAAGGGTCTGTCTTGGGACCGGTGCTCTTTAACATCTTTATTAATGACATCGATGAGGGAATTGAGTGCACCCTCAGCAAGTTTGCTGACGACACCAAGCTGAGTGGTGCGGTTGATACGGCGGAAGGAAGGGATGCCATTCAGAGGGACCTCGACAGGCTTGAGGGCTGGGCTCGGGTGAACCTAATGAGGTTCAACACGGCAAAGTGCAAGGTTTTGCATTTGGGCCAGAAGAACCCCAGGCACCCGTACAGGCTGGGAGGAGTGGTCCTTGAGAGCAGCTCGGCAGAGAAGGACCTCGGGGTCCTGATGGACGAGAGACTTAACATGAGCCAGCAGTGCGCTCTGGCAGCTCGAAAGGCAAATGGGATCCTGGGCTCCATCAGGAGAGGGGTGGTCAGCAGGGAGAGGGAGGTGATTGTCCCTCTCTACTCGGCTCTTGTGAGGCCCCACCTGGAGTACTGTGTCCAGGTGTGGAGCCCTCAGTACAAGAAAGACATAGAGATCTTGGAAAGGGTCCAGAGGAGGGCGACTAAGATGATCAGGGGGCTGGAGCACCTCCCCTATGAGGACAGGCTGAGGGAGTTGGGCTTGTTCAGCCTGGAGAAGAGAAGGCTGCGGGGCGACCTCATTGCAGCCTATCAATACCTGAAGGGAACCTACACCCAGGAGGGGAGTAAACTCTTCAGAAGGGCTGACAACAGCAGGACTAGGGGAAATGGATCAAAGTTGAAGGAGGAAAGATTTAGGTTGGATGTTAGGGGGAAGTTCTTCACAAGGAGAGTAGTTAGGCCCTGGAACGGGCTGCCCAGGGAGGTTGTGGATGCCCCATCCTTGGATGTGTTCAAGGCCAGGTTGGACGGGGTCCTGGGCAACCTGATCTGAATGTGGATGTTTGGTGGCCTTGCTAGGCAGGGGGGTTGGAACTACATGATCCTTGAGGTCCCTTCCAACCCAGGTGATTCTGTGATTCTGTGTGAATTCAAATCAATATTCTTCATGACTTAATTATAGTGCCCATAATTATATTCAGAACCTGGCCTTCAATCTGCTTAGTCTCAGATTTGCATTACAAAAGTGAAATTCTACAATCTGTATTTAGGAAAGAGCATTTCTTTCTGACAATGGCTCCTCAATGTAAATGCCTGTATTCTATGAACTGAGGATGTAGGAGATTCATATTTATTAATAAGAGCTATAGATTAGCTGCATACTAAATTAATTTGCATGAAATTACAACAGGAGGGTAGAAGTTGCACTGCACCATATAAAGGCTGATACTTCATATTTTTTTTCAGTGAAACTCGGTTTCTTTCAAAAATTAGGGCCGTCATTTATTGAGATTTTTGAGAATTCTGCCTTCTGTTAAACCTCCACTGATGTGAAAACACAATATTTGAAGAAAAGCATATGGCAACATGCTTTTCTGATTTGAAGTAACAGGCAAGTGGCCCGATGCTCTTCTGTTCTCAAAAGCACTAAGACCCACCAGCATCCACCAAAATCCACCCGAAACAGACTCTGATGAACATAACAATACATAATAAGGGAAATTCCACTTAAACACGTGAATATTTTGTTGCATTTTGAGCTTGGCTGAACTCTGGAACGGGCTGAGCAGAGACTGTGGACTCTCCACCTTTGAAGATACTCAAAAGTCTGACTGGACACAGGTCTGAGCAATTTGCTCTAACTGACCTTGCTGAAGTGGACAGTCTCTAGATGTCTCTTTCTACCTCAAGCATTCTACGATTCTATGATATTCTCAGTAAAAAGGGGCTAGATGTAATCCTCTTTCAATAAGATGAAAGCTACCCAAAGAAGCCTGGCATTCAAAGAGTTGCCTGAGAAGCTGTCTTGGCTAGTTTTAAGAGAGAGCTTTTAAGCTACTTCAAGCTGTATCAGTTTATCCATATTTGAGCAGATAGGCAACTGGAAGCCTGTGGGCAATATTTCTGTGGAACTGTACTTCAGGAAGTGCTTGCTAGCAGAAATCTAACACTAGTTGCTTTTTTTAGGCCAAATTCAATCAGACTTACTGCTTTAGTAAATACAGAAACACGAACAGAAATAACTGCTGTGGTGACTAGATAATGATAATGAATGGGCAGTTGAGTTTAAGAGTTCAAATTTAGCTGAACAACATAGATGCACAGGAAATAATTCTGACTAACTTATGGTGAAAAGGGGACAGAAGTATTTACAAAGGGTCATGAGATCACAGAGCTTAATCAGTTTATAATCACAGAGTATGTTGTCAATTAGAAGTGTCAGCTGATAGGTTTTTAAGCACTTCTAATTAAAAGAAGGGCAAATTAAGTGCAGCTGTTGATGAAGCAGCCAGGATCCTTGCAAGTCATTACTTTTCCCTGTATCTTAATGCTGCTGTGCGATATTCAGAAGCTGTTTCAGTCTTTGCAGTTCTATTGAGACAGGGCCACAAGCAAAACCTTATGATGGAGCTGAATCTAAGTATTCACCACCCTGCTCCTGCTGGTAGCACTGTTTCTGATATAAGGCAGAATGCCATTGGCCTTCTTGGCTACCTGGGCACACAGGGCAAGTGTTTTTATACTTTTATAAAAACATTACCTTGAATAAATAATGCTAAAAGAACATTAAGGTTGCAGAAGGCCAGAATTCACACTGTAGGCAATGTCAGCTTAAAAGAAGCTCAAATGCTGCTATTACAAACTTAATTTGTTATTTTGTGCATGTTGTATTCTATGCCATGCCATGCTTTGTAGATTGCACATTGTCCCAATACTCTCTGAAGGGAGAACTGAAGATTTTTCTGGTGTTCTTTATCACCATAGTATTGGTGTGCTTCACATAAGAAAGCAGTTAATTCACCATGGCACCTTGTGTACGAGGACCAGGATTATCTTAATCCCACTACATAGATGCAGGCCCTAAGCCATAAGTATGATATCTGCATGTGTGCAGCAGAAGCTTCCTGAAGATTGTTTCAAAGCCAGATTTAACTCTTGATCTTTTAACCTACTGGACAATTCTAGGCATTAACCTGTAGAGAGAATGAATACTTAGATAAGAAGTTTCAGATGCCTCTCACGCTTTAAAAGGCAAATGTTCTACATTGGAAGTGTTTGAAGACCAGAAGATAGGACTAGCAATAATACTTTACACCTGGTCTGATTAAGTAGGTTATTTTTCTTTTCCCCAGTACATGATGTCATACGACCTTTTATGAGGATCCCAGTGTTGCTTGCTACAATGGTAAAAGGGGTTTTCGCAGTGGGCACACGTGAGCAAAAAGTTAGTGCATGGGACTGGTTCACAGTGAGGCTTATGAACATAAATAAAAACAATTCTTGAAATCAAATTTATTTCAATCCCCTTGAGCCTTATAGCACTACATAGAATATCTAACTTTTCAAAAAATAATCTACCAAACTGGTGTTACGCAGAAACCCTGTGGCAGAAGTTAGGATTCAGTTCAACAGAATTTTGTTGTCTTAAGCATGAGATGATATTTTATCATCCTGCTTGATTACTTTGCTCTTTCCAGAATTTGCAAATAGGAAAAGAAGTCCTATAAGCAGGTCGACTTTCTGTCCTGATTAAAATGTCTCATAGATAAAAAATGAGCTGTGATCTTGCAATCAATGACTCCTGCATTGTTCAAATGGCAAAATTAGGGTTACATGAGCCACTCTACTTCTGAGCCTTTAACTTTTCTTCCTCGACAGCTTTATTTTCACATAAAAGTCAGAGACCTCTTGTGGAATTCTGGCATTCAAATAGACAGATATGTCCTAGAGGAAAAGTTTTGCCCGTGGATTTGGTATGCATTTAGTTTTGGCCAATACATGGCAAGGCTCAGGAGTCTTAGATATAGCTCTAAGTTCTGGAGGGAAAAATTGATACCAATAGTAGCCAACTCATCTATAACTTCTCCTTATAACCTGCTCTGTTGGTTCAACTCTAACACCAGCCTATGGTTTCATCTTATGTATTTTTGCCTCGTCTACTACAATTGTTACTCTCCTACTCTAAATATTTCAACTTCAATTCTCCGTAGCTCTGGTTTAGGCTCTTCCCTGACACTGCACCATTCTTTCCTCCAGTCTTAGGCTTCTTTTTCCACATACAAAACATGAACTGTATCATCCTTGAGCACTTTGCTGTTCTTATCACTGACCATCCTAACAGTAAATTCTTTCCTTTCATCCAAATCATGTCAAAAGAAGTTTCTCTGAGGTTTTAATAATGAACAAAATCATTACTGTTTGGTATTTTTGCTGAAATACTCAAGAAGCATGCTTCTAAGACACAGAACAAACAAAGCCGAGTTCAAAATTGTCTGAGTTTATCACAGAAGACCAAACTTTGAACTATTTATACCTTGGAAGAAATATTGTGTAATTATCACAGTAAATGGCTGTGCCAGAAATATCTTGCAAATTACTCAATACGTAGATAATTAATTTTTAACTCAAAGTCTTTTTTGAAGGATTTTGACAACAGTCATCCAATGACTTCTAAAGTTATAACAGCAATTAACCTGCTTTATATAGCAATAATTATACAGAAATAGCTGCTCTAAATAAACAGGATTACCACCTATCATTTATTCAAATCATATGTGGTACATTACCTTTTTGTAATTATTTTAGGATAGTCGCCTTTCTTTCCCTCTTTTATTACTATTTTTTTTGCTTGCTCACCTGCTAGACATTCCATATGCTTGTAGCACCAAAGTAGGATAGGGAGAGCTATTACAAGATAACGATTGACAGAGTGCTAGTAGCCACTGTTTTATGGCAAGGAGCTGTTTTATGTCAAATCACATGTGCTCATCGTGGTCTCTGATGGGCTGATGGCCGTTTACACACTGTCATACAAATACAAATTCATAAATACATGGCAAATACATTTACCATGCCCAGAACAAAACCTGACACAACATGATTATGGATCGTCCAGAGGGCAAAGGGGCCCTAAAACACTGTGTGGGATGCAGATAAACTGAGATGTGCCTAAGTGTCGTGGACTTCTTCAAGAAGGCTAAGGAGTGCCCTGAGCCGTGCAAGAAAGAGATGTGCTGTGAGAGGCTTCAAGAGACCCTTGTGCCTAAGCCCAGCCAAACCTCCTATGGTGACATAGGAGAACTGAGGCAGGCATGGGCCATTTTATAGAGCTGCAGAACACAAGAAATTGCCACTTCTTGCATTCAAAACAGTGAATTCCACAACAGTGGAATATTTTTCTGATTAAAGTGATTTGACGTTAGCAGTTGTGCACTTAGCAAAACTAAAATATTACCAGTGCTAGTGGATACTTTCTTCATTTTGTCCATCTAAGACAATGAATTCACTTTTTTCATTACAAATCTATTTAACCATAATTGAAACAACATAACAATTGGCAGTATACTTAAATTCTCAGTTATGTAGATTCCATTTCAACTGATAGCAATTCTTCAGTTTAGACAGTGACCTTAAGTCCTTGATTACAGCAGAGTGCTTTACAAGGACACAATCCTACCTACAAATTAGGGTACGCAAGAGTTTTCTGCTGGGGAATTCATCAGTGTGATAGGAGATGCTAAATTCAAGTTGCTCACAAAATTTGGCTTTAAATCAGGTACATATGACTGTTTCACAAAAGCTGAAAATGATGACTGAAATTAGACCAGACACCATGCAGGGTAATGAATCTGGTCGAACAAACCAATCAAGCTTTTTGTTACCGCTGATGCAGATCATTGTGTGCATAAAAGAAATGTGAATGTCTAATTTCAGCAGAGATGTGATGTCTAGTAAGAAGATAAAATTGAAAGCAGTGGGAATCCATTTTGAAGTGAGAACTTGTCTAGTCCTAAAGCTTGTTGTGGTCTCACAGTGAACATGCCCGAATCAAGGGTAGGGATGTACACCAGGATATAGAAGGGCAGATGCTTTTTGTTTTTTCATTGCAATTTTTGCAGTTTTTATATACTAAATATTAACTGAACAAGAGAGAAGAAAGGAGATTGGCTTTATACCTTGTTATCTAGGTATCAGGTTATTCATGGATGAATGTCACTCAAGCGCCCGCTACAATTCAGATCACAGAATTGCTCAGGTTGGAAAAGACCTCCAAGATCATCAAGTCCAACCACAACCTGACCATGCTACCCTAACTCTAACAACCCTTCCACCAAATCATGTTCCTGGGCACCACATCCAAACTGTTCTTAAACACATCCAGGAATGGTGACTCAACCACCTCCCTGCGGAGCCCATTCCAGATGTATTTAAATACACTGAAACATATTCAGAAGGAGAGACAGAACATAAACTTAGATTATATATGTCTGTTCTGGTTTCAGTTTTTCAGCTTCTCATGTTGTCCTGCCAGCGAGGGGCCTACAGGGGCACAAGGAGATGAGAAGGGATGGAACCAGGACAGCTAACCTAAACTTATTCAAAAAGATATTCCATACCGTATGACATCATGTGAAAAAAAACCACTATAAAACTAAGGGGAGTTAGGCAGAGGGGCAGCTGCTGCTCAGGAGCTGGCTGGGCAACCTTGGTGGGGGGTGAGCAATTGAATTGTGCATCACTCATTTTGTAAATACATACAAATATGTAATTACTACTATTTCTGCCTTCTGTTCTAGTAAATAGTTTTTATCTCAACACACAAGTTTTATGGTTTTTTTCCCCAATCCCATAGGGAGGGAGCGAAAGGCTGCGTATTTCTGTGCATGATATCAATTTTAATAAAAAAGTTACGCCTTTATCCCATTAAATTCCCTAAGTACTGCTCAGTTCCACTTCTAAGCAATGGAATAAAGTGGAGGCCAGGAGACGATTTGGATTTCTCTGGAAACATGGAGAACTGTTTCCATCCACCCAAGCACATACAGCCACCATCAGAAGCGGTTCTCCCCACAATAGACCCATCAGCATAATGTTTATGCCAGTGAGTTTTTTTAAGAGCACTGAATACATGGAGTACTGTATTGTGCTCTTTAATTAGGAATGTAATATACTCCATCTGGAGTGACTCATTTTTGCAGTCTTCTGTGGAAGACTGAATTTCCAACTTTCCCTAAAAGCCAAACACATGGCAGTATATTCATTCAGTGCATTTGTATTTTAGAAGATAAACAGGGCTGTCTGAAGCTTTGTTTCTGAATGTAGAATGTCTTAATATAAGCTTTAGAAAACAAATATAAATCTATAATTTTCTTTCATGAGAGCTGTGTGTAAGTATAAGAAGTAACAAAAATAGATAACTGCACTCATCACAGTCCTTGGTTCTGGGTTTTTCAAGGAATGAAGAGTGAGTGAATCTACTGCTTTATCCTTCTTCACAAATCACACTGGAATCCCCAATCTCCACACTTAATAAAACACTGACTTGGCATGCAGGTTAGCAGCACATGACAAAGAGCAGAATCTGTCAGAAAAAGGTCTGGTTGATTTGGGGAAAAAGATCGATTTTAGTTACAAGGGAATCACCAGATCACTCGGGGGGGATAAGTAATGACTCTTTCTCAAAAGTTATCAATATTTCTGATTGCCATTAGTGCTTAGCATTAAATAATCTGGTGGTTTTGCTGCTCCTGGATGGCTGTGCAGAATAGAGCGTATTTGGAGCAGGCTGGCAGTCTCACTATCTACACATATGAGTGCTAGATATACATAAATAAGTATGTACTTACACTATGTAGGATTCGTGTCTGCTTTCCTTTAGAAGATTTGACAGATTCATCCTTTTCTCTTCTTGTGAGCTCCATTTGCTCAGCTTTAATAAACGTTTCCCGAATTTGAGCATTTTTCTCTTTTTGTTTTTCAGACAAAGGAAATTACTTTTTCCTTAGGCAGTCTTCTTTTTTCCCCCCAAAAAATATTTTTTGTCTTCAATCTCGTGAAAGTCAGCGTGAGTCTTTCATTGGCTAATGCATAATATTAAAATGAAAGTCATCTATTATGTTAGTGGCACAGAGAGGAAGGTGTATTTACACTGCTTAACTTGAAGCACTTCACTGATGGACCCCAGCCTTCAGCTGAAACACTAAGGAAAAAGAGAGGCCTCTTCACATCAGCCTGAGGAGCAGTGTGTTTTCCTCAATATCAGTACTAATGCCTGGGGACAATTTCCTAGTTGCAGCACTGCAAGCTGGATGGGTGCAAAGAAAGATATTTCATCCTACCTCTGATGACAGGGAGTAGCTTTTCTTCTCTGACTAGACTGGGTAAACTTAAAATGGACTTTCCATTTATCTTTTTTTTTTTTAAGTAATTCCTTTAACTCATACCACCAATGTACTCTGTTACAAGCTGAAACAGGTATTTAAGGCCTTGAAAATACCTTCAAATAATAGAAACAGCATGACTACCATTGTTCTACATCACAGAATCACAGAAACACCAAGGTTGGAGAAGACCTACAAGGTCATCCAGTCCAAATATCAGTGCAATCTATTCCAGAACATGCACTCAGAATGACACACAGGCACCCTGGACTTATGATCAATTCTCACACATCTACCATTTGCCTGAAATTAGCTCCAGAGGAAGATCAATTACAAAACAATAGTCCTGTTGTTTGTACTGCCTCACTTTTATTAGCTGCTGCTTTACTAATCTTCCCACCTCTGAAACTAAAAGCAGACTACGTCTGCTATTTTGCCATACAAACTGTAAGATCTTTGCAAGATTCTACTTTCTGATACAATCTGCTGACTGTAATATTTTAATAGAAAACCTGAATGGAACACTTTAAAAATCCTGTATGTTTTGAGACTATTCAGTCAGTGCAAATCCATAATTTACCTGTATTTACGGAGAACAAAAATCAGGGGGCACAAGCATAACTCACCCTGCACACCTGGTATAATCTTATGGAACTAAGTTTCATTCTAACTGAAAACTTGGCTCAAGAAGTATAAATATGCAAGCTTTTTTTTTATTATTTTATTTGCCTGCTTTGAATTCAGTGTGACTCTATCTTTTAGCATCAACTCTCTCATCCCATTTTAACATTTTAACCAGAAGAAGAACATGGCAGAAGAAGGGAGGTGAAGGAGATAGCATGAAAGTATTTTAAACTTCTATTTGCCCTGGATTGCAATTTAGAAATCAGAAAACCTGGAAGTTCATGGGAGAATTCACTGAAATGGAAGTTCACTGGAACAAATTATGGAAAAGTTGCAATTTTCAGTCCTGAAGATTTTGAGAGCACCTCTAGAATGAGAAAGCTTTCAGTTACCTTCAGGTGACAGTCGAAATCTGTTGCTGACTCCTCAGATAGGGATGAAGTGTTATGTCAGAGGTTGACAACAGTCTTTCCAGTTTGCGAGTAATTGATCATAGACATCACCTTGCACTCCCTTTTCAAGAGAAAAGCAATGTGAAAATGTTCATTAGGAAGGAAGAGCAAGAAATAAGTGAAATTTAAAGGTCAAATATTCTCTTGTCCACAAGCCAGCCAAAGTCTAGAGATAAAAACTTCTCAGAGCTATAAGAAAAATAACAAAACACATAGGTCAGCATTAGAAACGTTGACCAGGTCTAGCTTAAATCTTGTGTTAAAGGAAGAACTGAAAATCTCTGAGACTTCAAGATGTAGTGCAGCTGTGCAGAACATCATTTGCAATGGCCCCGAAATGAAATTGACTGCTTTAGAAAAAGTCAGAAAGGCAGGTCTCATCATCACTGACGTTCTCTTGCTGGAATTTAAATCTTAAAGTAGATTTTGCTGTATTTCCAGGTGAGTTTGTGTAATGTATAGTGCTTCTGTCATTTCTGCAGCACTCGTTTTTTTTACTGCTGTTTTGCTTGTAGGATTTCTTTTATATGATCTTTTAAGGTTATGAGTTCACCAAAACAGGGTTTCAGGTCACAGAGTAAGAGCAGTGACAGCAGGATATATGTGACAAAAATGGGGCAATGATTGTTCAATTAACAGATCAATATGTCCTCTCTCACCTAAATGGTTGTCAATGACAGATGCCCAAGGGTTGCCTAAGCTGCATTTCCAAAGGCTTCAATGTAAAAATCGATCTTGAAAATACACATAGAACAGCCTTTCAAATCTATAACTGTGACAATGACAAGAGCCCAGAAATCATAAAAATGTATCTTGATCCTATTTGTAGGTCTTGCTGCAGGCCATTCCTGTTTATCCAGCCACCTGAACTGCAGAACCTTGTGCTAAGTAAACTGCAACAATCTGCATAGCAAAGAAACAAAACGGTCTTTCAGATTTCTGTTTTTCTCTTATGCTGCCAGCGCAGTGACTGCTGGAAAGGAAAAGGAAATCAGGCTGAGCGTTCAGTGAGGAGTGAGCAAGACCCGCAGTTGTGTCATTTGAATGCAAAGGATGCTGATGGGAGCCTAGCATGAATTCAGAAAGGAAGGAGAGGGCTGCAGAGCACCTTCTGTCACTGCAGTCTGTTTAAAAATGTGCTCATGAAAGGGCTGTTTTGCTTCTGTTAGCATTACAATGAACAGATCATGGATGATTATTTTCTCCAGATTTTACTTTACATTTAATGCATGTATATGCAGGCACACCATGAAAGCTTTCCCTCTGCATGGTATTGTTAAGTGAATGTTATTTATTGCAGTCATCTTTTCAAATTTATGTAACTGCCTGAAAATACCTTCTCCCTCTATTCCCATCATTCTGAGAGTAGGAAAGCTTATTTTAATTACATTGATGTTTATATATTTCTGCACTTTTATTACTTTGAAATCGTATTTTACAGACTATGAGTTCCTCTAAAAGTTTGGAAATGTTTTTACAGTTGCAAGCAAATGTTAGATTAAAAGCTAAGCATATTTATATGATTTCCCAGAACTTCTATACATAGGAAAAGTAGTTTCCAGCAGCTACCTTTCAGCTCCACAATAAAGGCATTAGGTGTGCACCCTTCTGATGATGGCTCCTACTGGCATGGCTTTTTTTTCCCTGCATTTCAACAAAAGATTTGAAAGGATTAGCAAATACCTGCATTTGAAGATCATTTTCATCAGAAAATTCTTTGAGACTACACTTCCTATGGACAGAGGCCATTCTGTCTTCAAGACCACACTGATACGATCTGATCTGTGCTCCTTCTGTCCAAATGCTAAAATCAAGGGAAATAAATGGGAAAATAGAAGCCATCCAGTCCAATCTGTCTTAAGAAGGCAGTTTCTACTGTCATTTCTACTTTGGTAGTTTTGGTGCTCCAAAATCATCCAGTACTTTCAGTACTGTTTCCTCATGCGAACAAAGAACTCGCATGGGATTTATGAATACATGAACTGAGACCTAAAAATCTCTGAGAGGGGAAACAGATAGCAAAAATGGTATTACAGAAAAATCAAACAGATTACGTTAAGGGTTTTCTCCAATAAATAAATGAATTTTCAATAAGAAAATAATACCTACGTGTAATCAAGACTATGAGTAACAGGTATTAGGTTGTTTCACACTGTGATTATCATTGTCTTAGACATGAATTATTTAATAAGACAGCAGCATTTATACTTTCCAATTAGAGGAGAAAAATCCAAGTTCACACTTTCAATCTCCTTTGATGTGGAACAACACAAATTCTTTTTTAATCTCCAGAAAAGGAGGAAAAAGTGTCTATGTAACAGATTTTAGAAACTGAGCACTGAAGAGAATATAGCAAAGCCCTTCACTGTTCTGATGTATGCAGCACTCTCTCCTTACTGCTACACTGCAACTAGAAAAATAGAAGAGGAAAACACAAAGCACAAAACGTCAAAATATCAATGTTAATAAAATATATAAATAATAAATTAATAAAAATATCAGTAAAAAATGTCAATATACCACTTGAGCTGCGAGAGACATCAGTCTATCACATTGGTGAGATGGAGTGGTTTGGTTTAAAAGTCCAGCCCATTGATATAGATGGCTTTATTGAATTGAAAATTTTAGTCTTACCTGTTAAAAATGCACATCTCCCTTGCAGTGATGGCAGGCCAAATGGCTCTACATTTATTATATTATATAATATATATATATATAATATTATATATATATTTATTATATATATATATAATTACTCCCAGGATTCTTCACTGTAGCAGCAGATTCATGACATTAATCCAGTGGAAGTCTCTTACAGATTGTCAGTTCCTGATTCTGTGTGAACACAGCAAAGATCACAAATTTTAAGAACTCTACCCTCATCTCCAATGTCTAATCAAAGCTTAGGATGTGAACTTGAGGTTTCATTTATCGAGAACATATTTTGCAGCTTCTGAACTGCAGGATTAGTTATAATTAGGATATGTCAAACATTATTTTCCAATAACTTAAAGGGTTACAATAATTTGCTTAAAATAGCAGAATTTACAGGAAATTTACTATTAAAACAAACTACGCCTATAGATACATTTCCTTAAATGCACAAAATAATTTGCATTGTAATGTGCCAGTTTTCTTGTGATGTCATTTATACTTAAGGAATTTGGCTTCTAGCGCCTCGCAAAATGCTAAGCGTGAAGAATCAAGAGCTAAACCAGAGGTAAGATCCTATTAGAAACAATGGGTCCATGGAAAATTTATTCTTTTATCTTTCTGGCACATGCTGCTATAGAGCCACAGATGGAACATAAAACAAAGTAGACAGTGTGGGAAAACCTTAAAGACATGAAGAAACTTACTCTGACCACGTACTCCCAAATCTTCCTGCTGAGAAGCAGAATCTTGCTGGGAAAGACACCTAGGAATTGAAGTAAAAATTCTTGCAACATTCCAGTGTTTGTAATTATCCATCGTTTCTAGTAATACTTAGTACACACAATTGGCTGTCAAAGGATTTGAGAATATAGTTGGAATGTGTACTTGAATTTGCTTAAAACAGAAACTTCAACTTAAGCAGAACCAACGTGTCAAACTCTGAGTCCGGAGGAAAGATGACATCTTGCAAGGCAGTTTTTGGTTGTTATTTCTTCTTTTTGTTGCTTTTGTTCCCCTCCAGTTTATAAACGATATGAATGTCCTCAGTCCTTCAGTACATTGCTCAGCAGCTTTGAGAGTAGTCAGCTTCTGATCTAAACAACAAAAATATGCATCATTTATATGCTTTGCTAATGATTATGTTCCTCACAATTAATGGTAACAGCTCACCGTAACTCACAGAACAACAGTGTAAGAATGTCTCCCAACAGGATTATTTTTGACTCTGAGGTTAATTTGACAATTTAGAATATTTGTTGAATTACATAGGTTTCCTTACAGTATCCTCTTTGTCACTAATGATAACGTGTTCTTCACAGAACTTGTTTCTCACTGACCAAATAAGACTTCTGATGCATTTCTGAAAACAATTTAAATAATCAGCAAATCAAATTTTGACATCTTAACTTAAATAGAATTGAATGAAAACCAGAAATTGTCTACAGGGTGTCTAAAGGCAAAAAGCGATACCCCAGATTTCAAGCTTCTGAAGGGGATGCTCTAGATTACTGCAGTTTTGTCCCAGCTGCTTTGAAAACAGGGCAGCCAAATTTAAGAGAGCTGACTACCCCACACCTCCAACAGAAAGCTTTCTGTTTTTCTGCTGTACTGTGAAGCTCTAGACCCAGGCAACACGATTCTCTTGGCAGGGCACAAGGAGTGGCTTACAAACAATTAATGCATAGTGTTGGGACATCACACAGACTATCAGCTAAGTAAACTTCAAATAAGGTGATGCTGAACCATGTTTCTGAATGCCACTATTCCATCCCACTCATCACTCCCATTCACTACCAGCTGTTTGGAAGAGAAATAAATGTTCAGATACTTGGCTGTTCTACAGTCCTAGCTGATTACAGGAGAAAGGAAAAACACCTACCTAAAAGATGTCATCTACAGATAGCATCTTCTGTGGCAGCTTTCAACACTGATTTATTTCTATTACATCTTATCAGTTTCATCATCATCCCCATAACTCTGGAATATGACTCATTTACTTCATTAAATCTAGAACACTCTGATACTGTCTGGCCTTTTGGAATATCCTACAGAATGCCCAGGGAGAACAGTTTTCAACAAGGCACTATCACCATAGCATTTTGGCAGTACTCACCTTTTCCTCCTGGCTGGTGCTAAGGAATATTTATCTTTCTTTTGCAATGGCTGAGAAAAAACAAACAACAAAAAACAGGGGAGGAAGAAAAAGATGCTTTAAATGGTCAGCAGGCAAGCCAGTATTTGATTGATGGCAAACTGGCATCACTGGTAAGTGAAAGTCAGTAATACAATTGGGAAAATGTTTTTTAATGGCATTTTTTCCCTACCATTACTATTTTTAAACTACTAAGATAAGTGATTTGAAAATTAAAAAAGGCAGGTGATCTTTAAGGTAGTTTTGAAAAAACATGTACTACTTTCTGTCCTGGAGGCAAAAAAAACCTCAAAGTAGACCTATCTAGAAGGCTGAACTTGTTTGACATCCCATTTAAACAGAAGAGATGGAAATGCAGCCAAACTTTCAAAGCTGCTGTATAGCCCATGAGATAATTTCAAATAAATAGGCAACAAGATTCATCAGTTTACCTCTGCGTTTTCTAGGAGGGCATTTATTTTTGAAATCCTACTATAGAGAAAATATGAAATCTCTATTGTATTTATTTCCCTCTCAGTTTGATATATCAGACATACAAAGTCACAAGGCGAGGAAATTCTGTGCATATTTAATGTTAACTATAAGGCTAAGCTCTTAATTGGATCAAAGCTGCCATGCATAATTTTCTTCTTACAACATTTAGCCTTAGTGACCCAGCATGAGCTCTAGGAATCAAGCTGACTTCTTTCTATCTTGTTCATCCTCATCATTACTGGAAGCCAAATTAGAGCATCACTGACAGCTGTGCAACAAACTTTGCTATGCAGTCATGCCCTGTCAGCTGATGTAAGCAGCTAGGTGCAGAAAAAAACTCTTGAAGATGCACATAAGGAATAAAATCTAGTTCATTCTTATAGCTGTGATGCTGTTGCGGGGCAAATGGGAACACAAAGCATCAAACAGCTATTTTTATTTTCAGACTCAGCATATTCAAAATATGCATAGAGACAGGTTGTTTTTGTTTGTTTTTTTTTTTTCCTGATCCAGTTTTTACCAAATCATCTTTTCAGAACAGGACATTTCTTTTACATTTCCTCTAAGATAGCTTTGAGAAATTTCTGCCCTTTCTGCTTACAATCAGAGTTACTGTCAAACATGTCCAAGTTGCTACATTATCACATGGAGCCATTTCAGAGCTGTCAGCCCTAGACTTTGTCTTCAGTTACATCGCCCATTCAATATCCCTGGCTGTCAGTCAGGTTGGGAAGAAACCAACCCTACTGGCTTGAAGACTGGGAAGATGGGCATTACAGCGACTACAAGGCCAGTGCACAATACTCATAGATGTCAGTCAAGCTGGGCAGTTTGAGCCTCTTCATCTGAGGTGATGGAGGAGGTGTCTGAAAGCCATGGGAGTGTTTGGGAACAGCAAGGGCAAGCTGCTTCCTCAGGAGTAGGGTGCAGTGGGGACTCCCTGTAGTAGCAGCCAAGGCCATCAGGCATGGTGGTGGTGAAGATATGGATCTTCAATCCATCTGCTGCTCAGGATCAGGGCAGTAAGGGTAATTAGGCTCAGACACAGCCTGCTCATCAACAGACAGGTTCACAGGATAAAGACCAAACTAGGACACCAGCTGACAAAGCTGGAAACCAGCATCCTATGTTGTCACTAAGGATAACTATATTCAGTGGACTCTAGACATACTAAAACAGGTATCATTTATGTTGCCAAAATGAATACTGAGAAGATTTCAGTGATTGCAGTGTAGCCAGTTTACAGTACCAGTGAGGAACAACTTTTATGCACACTAACTGAAAACTGTAACTTTTATTCACCTATGTGCCCCCTAATATGCTTCAGCTACCTAAAATACCTCTTTTAACAGCAATTACGTGTTATTAACTTATTTTTCTTAGATTACGTCTGCTAAATAAGCATTTTTTTAAACACAGTAGCAATAACAAAGCAGTTCCACATGTTCAGTTGATGCCAAGATTATATTTGTAAGGAAAGCAACAATCTAAAAACAGTTCAAAAATGCAAACATCATAAAACAGAGACTTGAATGAAGGAATTTGCATCCAGCTAAACATTTTTATGTAATCAAACGTCCTTATTCTGCAATTCTTTTCTATCTGTTTTCTTCAGAAGCACCACCCACATCCATACACCTGATGAACCTCGTGTACCTGAATGCACCTTAAAGGGGATGGAATCCTCCACTGTTTTATCTCAGTGTGCTTTGTCCATCCTTATTCTCAACAGATGTAGGTCAAGTCCTGGTAGACAAAGATAGCAAAAAAACAAAAGCACATGGATTATTTTATTCTAAAAGGAATATAACGCCTGCACTATTTTCAAAATTTTGTTTGTATGCTTTATATGCCTTCAGCTTCCTGATTTATGGAAATACCTTTTGATGCGTCTCTAGATTTATTTTCTCTTTATTTTCCCATCGTTTCACAGAACTTACAATGAATTCTTATGTGTTTGTGTTGTGTTTTTTCTTACCACGAATGAAGATGTAGCCAGAGAAGTATGATGGCACTGAATATTTTTTTTTGGCTCTGATTTGTTCTTTTTCAAATTTTTCTTTTAATCAGGATTCCTGTTAAGAAGTTTGACCTACATTTTGCAACCATCTATTTTCAATGCACCAGGCGTAGACAAACCTTTGCCACACGTACTTCCCTACCTTTGAGGAAGAGGGGTGAACTAAGAACAGATGACACCTCGCTGCACCACAACAAGGAGCTGAGGCAGTCTGTGAGAACTGTATCTGATATAATGGAATCAGCCCTTCAGCATTTTCTGCAGCCTCTGCAATGTTCTTATTTAGCTTTCTCGACATCCAAAGAGTCAAAAGTAGTTTTGCTTCTGCAATCGTATTGGAAAAATAAAAGCGGTTGTGTCAAAGATCTTCTGTGATAGGAAACAGTCTTTTTCATGTTTTAAAACTGAAAATAGAAGGAATCTGTGAAGAGAGTTAAAAGCACTAACTTAGCCTTGGAAACGCTTACTTGAAGGACTAATACTTCAACACAAGTAAAGTCTTACATTCTTTAGAGAGCTGATCTGTATATTCAGCTGTCAACATGATGGACTGTCACAGACTGCTTTTCACAGGTGACAGAAATGAATCTTTCCATAGTGGTCTAGACCCAGTATGCGCTCTACAGGACTTCATACCTTAGTAAACTGAATAGAGGATGAAAGAACAAGTGGGTGGGAGATGACAAGATGAAGGACATATGACAGTCACCTTTGGTGCATATTTTCCCTGTTCTACATTAAAAACTTCTGAAAACAATACATTGCTCCCAACTACACAGGCAGGCCACTTTTTGCAGATCTATGTTTCAGTGTATCTGCCCTAGATCATCAATCTTATGCTGAAAAAGTAGGAGAGAGAAAACAAATTAGAGAGGAAAGCTCTAAAAATCTTATGATTTTATGTCATTCTTAAAGCTGTGGTGCATCTTCCCAAGGGAGTTTTGCTAAGAATGAAAGCAAGGTATCCAGCAAAGCAAGTAATTAGAGCTTCCTGACAGATGAAGGAAAGAGGCTGATGTAAAGACCGAAACGTGATTATCTCAGCCTTGAAATTAAGAGCAGAGGACCTATGTGTTTTGGGATTACTTACTAACTGCTTTCAGCACTGTGCATGATTAACTCCTGATGTGCATTCTCTGTAGCTGGAAGCTTTGTTAAGAATAGAATGTATGCTTTCAACCTTTATCTGAATGCAATCAGTCCCTCTAAGATGGATAGTGAAAGAGTTCTTACAATTAAAAAGCTGAGAAAAATTGAGAGGTTCAAGCTCTGCATGGGCATATGTTACTCTGAGATCAATATTCCTTTTAAGAATAAAAGAACACCTTGTGACATATTTTATTTGCAATAACATATGTTGCTGGATGCATTTACCTTTAATTTCTGTCTACTTGGGATGATAACGAGAGAAATTCTGCAAGGCTAAAGAGAAATTTACATGATACGGTCCTGTTCCCAAACATTGATGCCTTTGGGATTCTTTGAGCTTAATTTTCAGATTAAGTCCCAGGAGAATTCATGAAGGTTAATAACAATATTGACAGAAAGTAGCATATTTTCAAAGAGGCAGTAACAGATGGGTTCACTGTCCCTGTTTTTTACTAGGATCACTGGAGAAAAATACTTAGCAATTCTTTTATACGCAGTCATTTCTTTCTGGTTTGAACACTCATTTTACACGGCTGTCTTACTTTGTAACAGAGTGATCTATTTCTTTGCAGAGAAATGAAGTGCATATTTGAAAACGTTTCCTTTTAAAAACATAAATTTAAATAGATATTTTTCTTCTCTTTCAGTTATGTGCGAAACTGCTTTAATGTCTGGCACAAAATAACAGTCCAATACAAGTTTCTCATGTACTTATTCAGTGTTTTCCTTGTGAAAAATGCCTTGTTCACAATTTCCTTGTGAAAAATACATGTGCTGGCTGTGTACTACACTTAATGTAGAATTGTAAAGCACTCTGAATGTCTTCCAGTCAAGCACAATGCCTTTATGGTTGTTCTAGGAAAGTAGTGTCATTTAAAAGGATGTCATTAAAAAAGAGCTATAAGAAGATCATCCTGCTCTTCTGAATGTCTACCAACAACTTTTTGGCTCAGGATCATGCCTGAGGTTGGGAAATAAGAGATCCTGAGAGCTCCTCAAACTGGCACTGATAACAATTAATACTTACCTTAAATATTATTACATACCTTCATAGGTGACCATAGCACTACCAAACCAGCTAGAAAGCCTCTCAGAAATTGACAGAGGAATAGGATTAATGAGCTTATCAATTAAGGTATCGAATACACAGAGAGGTGATTTGTTTATACTACACATTTATGATCAAAGCTGACAGAACACACCGCTTTCAAATCCCAGGCTACTTCTCCATAGCTTATATTCCCTTTTACAACTTATTAGCCAAATCCTTAAGCAACAGTTTTTGAGGGCAAAAAGGGCACGGTGTAACTCATTCTGGGAAGTCTGATGAACACTCCACAAGTTCAGACTTTTTGAATAACTGGAGTTTCATCTTCCTGTTGAAGCTTTCTTGTTGCGCAAGTTGTTTCATGCCTCAGTAGCAACTTAGCAAATAGGCCTGGAAGGCAATGTAATAACTGTATAATGAAGAACATGGAGGGTAGAGCTTTCAGAATCTCTTTCTCCATTTTCAAATGGTTGCCTAGGCAGGTTTCTGTATTATCATACAGTATTTTGTTTTCATTAATCCTTTCTACTCTTTCCTCAGACAGCACAGAGGTATTTGTATCCTAACAATACAGCACCTTCATTGCCAAGTTAAGTAAAAACACTCAAGTATGGACACAAATACAGCGAGCACACTAATGCTTAATGGCATACCCTCCATCAGATGTTTGTGTCGTGTAACTGAGTGCGAAGGAGCAAAATGCTCATAAAATGGCAATTTGATGTGAGAATTTAAAACTCAGAAGGAGATCCTGTGGCAGAAGGACAATAGGATCCAGTCAGTATATCCATCTGCCTTTCCTATACTGCAAGACAGCACTGAGGAGCCAGTCAGAAATAGGTGAACTACTCACCTAGAATATCACATGGGAAGATCGCTTTTGAATGCATTGCTCTTGCCCTGTGGTGATGTGCTTTTTAGACCAACTCAACTCATTGTAATTTCTTTCCATTTTAATGTCTGTTCATATTCAGTCCCTTCATTCCTTTTTTTTTTTCCTTTCCTTCCTTTCTACACCTAAAGAACGCAACTGACGTTAATCAATGGCCACTGATGTTCTTCCATCCCTTCTTCTCAAGTGAGTTGCAGTCAGAATATTTTACCTAATTTTCAGCACCTGTGTGTGAATTAGGAGGCAAAACTACTAATTGCAACATCATGCTTATTTTGTACCCAGCCGGTCAATGATCACAAAAAACATTTGCATATTAGCGTAAATAAGCAGTAAGATTTGATAAGCTGAAAAAAAAAAAAAAACTGGCTACTCTTCCTTTTTGAAAGATGTGGATGGTTAAAAAAAGTTTCAGCCATGTTGTCGCATAGCAGTGGTAGCAGAAACATGTTCAACTCCTTACAAAATTGGGCAGCTTCCCAAATGAACTAAGTCAGTGAAACAACTAATCCCGTTTTTCCTTGGTCTCACGATCACATATTCTCCACACACCTATAATTTCAACCGCCCTGTTAAAGATTCACTTTTTTGCTCCTGTTAATTTATGTGAACTATTACCCAGGCTGGGCTTTTTTTTTATTATTATTATTCATTACCACTAAATTATCTACTTCTTTGCTTTTATTAACTCTGAAGTAATAAATCTAATCAGCAACTAAAAGTAAGATACTGCCATTTATATTTTAGGAGCAAATTTGTATAATTAATTTTAGCACTTTCACATTTAGACATAGTAAGTAGCTGCTTAAAAATATTCTTTTATGAATGAGCAAAGCTACATGCAAAATGGGTTAATTAGTGGAAAAGAAACACACCATGAAAGTAGAGCTATTCTTACTCACTTAAAACCTCTACCATCTTATCACGTTATATTGATTAGCAACACATTAAACACAAGGAATTTTGATTGTCACATCTTATTACAATGCCCTGACCTCTCAGTCCAGTAAGTATAGTAGTTGACCAAGGAGAGCAACAATTCACAATCACTACATCAGCCTGGTAGCCATTCCAGAAAGCCACAGTTCCTGAACAACTGTAAGTATATTTAACTCTCTCCCAAATAGAAGTATTTGCTAATTCAGTATTAGTATACAACTGCTAATTAAAAATAATAGACATTTGTAAAAATTCCATACAACCATTTTTTTCCCCCCCATCATGAGTTTACAAGGGAGATTCTCTAACCTTGGTTACTTTAAATAAATACTTTTACATTTAACAGAAAATACAGCAGTAAATAGATTTCAGGGAACAAAATATTAAACTTCACTAAACAATAATTGGGCTGAAATCATAGAATTAGAAAGAGCACAGGCACAGAGTTTGTGTTGATAGGCATTTACCATTAACTAATAATTAGTGACAGATAAGTCAATGATTTGTCATCGTGAACAGCTACAAGTGTTAGCAATCACTTGTGGTCAGAGATCATTGGGTAACTCAATCAGTTAGGTAATAATGCCTTGGTTATGTGGTAAATAAAAGAATCTCTGAAGCACTGTAATTTTTATTTTAATGAAACACTGAAAGACAAAATGCAAATGGAGAGGAACTAGCACTGAAAAACAGGACTCTT